AATAAAAATATATATATATTTAATAGAATAAGTATACGTAACAAGTATGCATAAAATATTATTTATATCATACCGTACTTAACTATATATATTAGAATATAAATAAAAGCTACTTACTTGCGTCACTGTGCAGTTGAATATATTTTCGCAGTTTTACTGATTTGATGATGGCTAATTGACGTCTTTATATTCAAGGGTTATGATATTAAATCTTATTAAACAGCTTCATCACACTAGTGCACATCATATGCATAAAAGTTCAACTAACTTGAACCACTGTGCAGTGAGATAGATTTACCGTTGCCGCATGCTGCGTGCCGCAATATTTGGCGCTTGGCGCTGGGCGCTCGGCCGCTCCGCCGCTCGTTCGCTCGGCATTTGGCAATCGGGACTTTCGTAGCGGCCGTCGCCGAGCAGCCGACTCTGCTCGTCAGTCTAGAGAGTAATATCGACACGAAAAGTAAGTTGGCCTGTGGGTCCGTTGGCCCACAGCAGCTGTATCGAGTATAGAATTTATAAGTGGGCACACACACACACCCAACTGCAACTTATGTGTGTGCATGTGTGTGTTGGAGCTCGTGGAAATTCGTGGAAAATCCATGCGTGCGAGAGTTGAATTCCAGCGCGTGTGACATTCCAAATGAAAATCCATTGCATAAGAAATGCAATTCGAATGAAAAGTGCTCGTGAAAATTATGAAAAATGTGTGAAAAACGCCTCAGCGAAATTCAAATTCAAATTCTGTGCTAGTTTTTTGTGGCTGCCCAGGTCTTTGCGTGTGATATTTTTGGACATGTGTGCGCTCGTCTCTCGTCGCTACTTCGGATGGCGTGTTCGGGCCCCGATGATACCCAAAAATAAACACACGACAGTGCTGCAAACCCGATTGAAGATTGAAAGAAGTAGCTGAGACACACACACACACRCGCACATATACATATATACATATATCTATCGAAATCTTTAATAGATATAGATATAGATTATAGTTGGTGCTAGTGCCGGGTATACAAATCTCAATATATATCGTATATGGATGCTGCGTTACCCTGCGTGCCATCGGACCCTGGATTACCGATGCACGCAGTGCACAGTGTCCCAGTGTAAAGCAACAATAATAAGAAGTGTTCTCAATCTGAAATATAAATAAACATATATGGCTATATAATATAGAGACATATATAATAGAACTACATCTATATATCTACAAGTTGAATATCATATTCTAAATCTAAATTGACTACCCATACATACACATATTCCTAATGTCATGCTCTGATCTTTCGAAAGAATGCCTCAATTTCAATATATCTATTCGAATACATATGTTCTGTCTGCGTAACATGCGCATATTTGCGGCTAAGAGTCCGCAGTAAATTTTGGCATAGCACCAAAGAGTCGCAGCGATTCTTGAATCGAATCTGCCTATTTATACAATTAACAAACATCTGAGGCAATTGGGAAAACACGCGAAAGCGCAAGCCAAAGCAAACTGACAAATGACAAACGACACAGAAATCACAACAAGGAAAAGTGGAGGAAAAACAAAAGTGAAAATTAAGAAATGCCGGCAAAGGAAAAACAGCTGAGCGAACTTGGCAAGCCGAAAAGCATATGACATACTATGAAAAGACCCGACGAGCCCTCCACGAGAGCGTGAGCGTGAATGACAAGAGAGAAACAGAGAGAGAGAGGGGAAAAAGAGAGAGAGGGAGAGAGAGAGAGAGAGAGAAGTGAAACTGCTCTCTACTGAACGTTAATCTATTTTTACAAAACCCAAACAGAACAGAATTTTGTAATATTTCGTTCATTATTTATTTATTTGCTCATTTTGATGGCAATTTCTTAATCAGGCATGAAAACGGAATGTGTTTGTATGTGTGTTTGGTAAGAAGATTATTTAGTTTGAACCTCTTTTAATCCACTTAGGGACCTGTTTGAGTTACCCGGTCACATAGACAAAGAAATCGAAATACTACACAAATAATTGCATCAATCTCTGTTTGGACGCTACAGTCGTTGCGTTAACCGGCAAAATGGCTGAAGCGGAAGGTGGCTCCGAGCAGGATGATGTTTCATTCTTGCGTACGGTAAGTACTCAAAAAAAAACATAAAACATAAATATGAATTTAGGAATAAGAGTGTGCAAGCTGGGAAAGTCCATATAGAAAGTAAAAGTAAAGTTAATTCCTTGAAAAAGATTAGAATCCTTATATGAGAATCACGAAATATCATCAGATAAGCACAGTTGTAAATCGAATTTAATCGATAATTTTACAGCTTTGGAAAGATAGAAGAATAAGCTCAATTTTGTATATCTATATTCGAGCATGCTTAAGCTATAGAAATAGAACTACTTTTGCGATTATAACTATAGACTATGCTAACTGTTAAACTTTGAGCTACCAAGAAAACTTAAAACCTTAAATCGATTTTGACAAACAGTTTAAATAAAAAGGCCAACTCCTTCTGGCCGTTTATCTTAATCATAAATAAATATACTTCATAGTCTTTCCTGTTACATAGTTTATCGCAAGATCATGCTACTCTGCTGAGTCATATGCAATGGGTATGAAATGAAATCACATCGTATGAACAATATTGGAAAACATCTCAAATCAATTACGTTCAGTCAATAAAATATTAGCGAGGATTTCACACAATTGATGTCATAAAGCAAACACACCCACACCCCCACAAACACACACACACACAGACACACATGTTAGCTAGGACTCCATAAAGGATGTTGGATATTTATGGGCGCCGACTTTACAGACAGACAGCGCCAACTTTCTTTATGGCTGCCAATAAATACAAAAAGTCAGGTCCACACTTTTCAATCACAGCAAATTTTTAAGCTCTCGCCAGATTTGTTTGCTTCACTTTACATAAACGCAAGATAAACACAACAGAAGAGCTGGATATACATATCTGTATGTATATCTATATATCTATCTGTATGGATAGATATATCAATGACTACACCTGACGCCGAAAATGACAGTCATTATGTGTGAATGTGTTTGTATGGAGGAGCCGCTGCGTCTGTTATAAATAAATGGCATCAGTGACCAGCGACTTCCACTTGGGCACTCCTCGTTCGCTCGTCCTTGGGCAAGCCTTGGCGCTCTGCTCGCTCGCCAGCCTGCCCCTTGGGGCCAGAAGGTCAGCGCCGAGCACCTGGCTGCAATAAATAAACACATTCCTTGCTATGCTTTGTATCCGTATCTATTTCCTTTTGCTGTTCCTGCCCGCCGGCGCTCACTCGTTGCTCAAATTCAATAAATATGCTCCGCATATACATAGTATAGGCTCTGGCTGGACTCTAAGTGTTTTTTCACTTTGACCATTTTGATACGCTCGACGCGGTTGGGGGATTCGATTTGCTGTTTTCCCCGGACAGCTACGCCGTGGGAGCAATTTTTCCTTATGCTCCCTTTGCTTCTATTTTTTTTTTTAGTTGTTTGCCGTTAAATTAGACTTAACGATAATTCTTTCGAATTTATAGCAATGCCTGTATTTACACTCCTCTCTGACCCAAATAGGTCGAATTGAGAATTTAATAGGTGGAATTTTAGATGTAGTTATGCTATTAAGAGATCTTAAGTTTTACAAAATGTTTGCCCAAGATGGGAGACCTAAGTTAAGCAAATTGCATCCTTTTTTCTGGCTAAGAAAAATGCTTGTATGGAGGAGTGTTTAATAAGAATATTGTAGTAGGTCTGAATCTATTGCGATATTAACATGATTGTTCTATAGGCAACAAAAGTTTGGAGAGATCTATGAGGATTGTACTAAACTTCTACTAAACTACTTTAAAAATGATTAATTTTCATCCATTACACGAATTTCTTACCTAAGTAAGTCTTATGTTCTATTCAGATAACAAAACGAAAAGAATCGATATTTAAATCCCAACTTAGTAGGGGTACATAGAGCTCCTTCGTTGTCTTTTAAGTATCAAGAATATTGACCTGAGGACACTTGAATAGGCGAAAAAAGGGATCTAGTCACAGTGACTTTTAGATATTATTATAATCAATTACAATATAAATATAGATATAATATATGATATTATAGATATATATGAGCTACAGAATATAATCTGATTCTTTTCCACTAATTACTACCCTAGTCTGTGTATATATATATACACTATTCCATAATCGAATAAAGAGCAAAGGCAAACCATAAACTAAATAATCTCCTAGATTATATTTATTAGACTTGGATCAAATTTGTTACTTAAATGTAATCTAACCACAATATATGTTGCTTGACAATCAAGCATTCATTAATTGTGCATTACACTGCACAAAAACAGTAACAAAAGGTAGGCAAATGTACAGCTTCAGGGCTGTTGTCTCTAAACAGTTGACCAGGGTTAACTTCTGCAATGGGGCGATTCGTTTCGATTTAAATTATGTAAATTGTTCGATTCGAAATCCATTACCGTTCATTTAACTTGGACACCAGGCACACACTCACACACACAAACACTCGTAAGAGTAGACAACAATTCGGGCTGTACATCCCACTTAGCTGACTTTGGGAACGTGAGTCTGGGTGTTGAGATCCGTTTGTGTTTGTGGCTGTTGCTGTTGCTGTTGTTGTTGCCTCTATTGCCTCAATTGCCTCAAATTTGGCAACATCCACGTAAACGCTCAATTTTGCATCGATTCATCGGCCTCGTTTTGCGTGCGGCATAGCTTCTGGTTGAATGGACGCTTGGGTAAACCAATTGGAATTTGCTATTTCGCATGACATGCCGTCGGTGCTGATGCCTCCGCCTCTGCTTCTGCCTGCTGACTGGATGCAATCAATAAGCACTGTGATTAATAAATTTGATCTCTCAATTCACAGGAAGATATGGTCACGCTCTCCTGCACAGCGACGGGCGAGCGTGTCTGTCTGGCCGCCGAGGGATTTGGTAATCGGCATTGTTTTCTCGAAAACATTGCCGATAAGAATGTGCCGCCCGATTTGTCGCAATGCGTCTTTGTTATCGAACAGGCGCTGTCGGTGCGCGCGCTCCAGGAACTGGTGACTGCAGCTGGATCAGAGACCGTAAGTCCCCCTAACTGTATATTAATAATCACAGAGTCATTTGGCACAGCATGTGTTGAAACCGTCTTCGAAATCAAAAGCCCACACGAAAACTTATTGAATTATCAAGTCTACCTATTCCTCACTCTAAGTCGTATGCTACTTTCGTCTCTTCCTCTATCCAATTCCTGGTCCATAATTTGGTTTTAATATATTATCAAAATTTGACTATATACATATATATATTATTTACCTTCTGCATGTTGATTTCACTACAATTTCCATTTCTATTTTCACACAAATTGTAACCTATCAATTTTTCGGTTCTTTTTCAAAATTTTTCTAAATACCCAACAGGATAGTCAAGTTGTAAGTATACAGAATGTTCTTTTGACTTTAAAATCGCGCCGCTTTCTCTATACTTTCTTTATATATAACTATAACTATCTTGCTGTATCTATTCTATTTCTATCTCACTCTATCGGTCTAATGTAGTATTTGTTATTATTATTATTATTATTATTGCTATTATTGCCACTTTGCTTCACTGTCTCGTCCAGCGGGCTTCAGCTAGTTTAAATCTATATATAACTCGCTCTCTCTCTCTCTGTCTCTCACTCTCTCTCTCTCTCTCTCTCTCGTTCTCTATTTCTGTCTCTTTGTATATGTTTTTTCTACGATTTGTTAAAAATCAGACCGTGGAATCGATTGCTCTTTACCGCATTTAACAAACTCATTGACATGCTCATTAAGAGCGAATCGCTAGCATCGCATTCTCAATTAACTTCAAGTGCGACTCTCAACTACACAAATGCTAATTATCAACACTTTGTCCCAGCGTACACTCAGAGAAAATCGAAGCTCGAATGTATATATAGATTTAATCACTTTCTTGGATTTTCTCTGACTGAACCAAATAAAAAAAACCCTTTCTCCACACACACACAGAGACACACATTGTAGTAGCGTAGAAAGAACCAAGCATATACCTTCTCTTAATGCGATTAAGACTCAGCTGTCGCTAGCTTACTACTTACTAATTACTATTCAAATCTACAGGGCAAGGGCACAGGATCCGGCCATAGAACCCTGCTCTATGGCAATGCCATACTCCTGAGGCATCACAACAGCGACATGGTAAGCTAAGCACTGAGAGAGATGTGACACGATATATATGTGGATAATCCGAAATGAATTTAATTATAATGTAACCCACGGAACAGTATCTGGCCTGTTTGTCAACATCGTCGTCGAACGATAAGCTCTCCTTCGATGTGGGTCTGCAGGAGCATAGCCAGGGCGAGGCCTGTTGGTGGACCGTACATCCGGCGAGCAAACAGCGCTCGGAGGGTGAAAAGGTTCGTGTGGGTGATGATTTGATTTTGGTGTCGGTTGCCACCGAACGGTATCTGCACACAACCAAGGAGAACGAGCAGTCCATTGTGAATGCCAGCTTCCATGTGACCCACTGGTCCGTGCAGCCCTACGGCACCGGCATCTCACGCATGAAATACGTTGGCTATGTGTTCGGCGGCGATGTCTTGCGTTTCTTTCATGGCGGCGACGAGTGCCTGACCATACCCAGCACCTGGGGCCGTGAGGCAGGTCAAAAGTAAGCCGCAACTTAAGTCCACACTGATTCAATTACAATTACACTAATGCGACTCCTCAACAGCATTGTCATATACGAGGGCGGCGTGGTCATGGCTCAGGCACGTTCTCTGTGGCGCTTGGAGTTGGCGCGCACGAAGTGGACGGGCGGCTTCATAAACTGGTATCATCCCATGCGTATACGTCATATAACGACGGGACGCTATCTGGGCGTCAACGATAGCAACGAGCTAATCCTCGTTAAAAAGGAGGAGGCATCGATTGCAACGACGACTTTCTGCCTGAGGCAAGAAAAGGACGACGAAAAGAAAGTACTCGAGGACAAAGACTTAGAAGTAATCGGTTCGCCGATCATCAAATACGGTGACACCACCGTCATCGTGCAGCACTGCGAGTCGAGCCTGTGGCTCAGCTACAAGAGCTACGAAACGAAAAAGAAGGGCGTCGGCAAGGTGGAAGAGAAACAGGCCATACTCCACGAGGAGGGTAAAATGGACGATTGCCTGGACTTCTCCCGCTCCCAGGAAGAGGAATCGAAGACGGCGCGTGTCATTCGAAAGTGCAGCAGCCTCTTCACACAGTTTATAACGTAAGCTATCTATCAACTCCCAAATATACTGAAATACATATATTCTTCCATTTTACAGCGCCTTAGAGACCCTGCAATCCAATCGTCGACATTCAATATTTTTCCAAAAAGTTAATCTCAACGAAATGGTCATGTGCCTGGAGGATTTAATCAATTACTTTTCGCAGCCAGAAGATGATATGGGTAAGCAAACATGGAAGCCCTCCAAATAGCATAAAAACATTGTTTCCTTGCTCACAGAACACGAGGAGAAGCAGAATCGTTTTCGTGCCTTGCGCAATCGCCAGGATCTGTTCCAGGAGGAGGGCGTGCTCAATCTCATTTTGGAGGCCATTGACAAAATTAATATAATTACCTCGCAAGGCTTCTTGGCCAGCTTCCTGGCCGGCGACGAGACTGGTCAGAGCTGGGATCTAATCTCAACTTATCTCTACCAGCTACTGGCCGCCATCATCAAGGGCAATCACACCAATTGTGCCCAATTTGCGAACAGCAATCGCCTCAATTGGCTGTTCTCCCGCCTGGGCTCGCAGGCATCCAGCGAGGGCTCCGGCATGCTGGATGTGCTCCACTGTGTGCTCATTGACTCGCCCGAGGCGCTGAACATGATGAGGGACGAGCACATTAAAGTGATTATATCGCTGCTCGAGAAACACGGTCGCGATCCCAAGGTTCTCGATGTCCTCTGCTCCCTGTGTGTGGGTAATGGAGTCGCGGTGCGCTCCTCGCAAAACAACATTTGTGATTTCCTGCTGCCCGGCAAAAATCTGTTGCTGCAGACCTTGCTGGTGGATCATGTGGCGAGCATACGTCCCAACATCTTTGTGGGACGCGTGGATGGCTCGTCCATGTACCAGAAGTGGTACTTTGAGGTGACCATGGATCACATCGAGCAGACCACACACATAATGCCGCATCTACGCATTGGCTGGGCCAACACCTCCGGCTACGTGCCTTATCCGGGCGGAGGCAAGAAGTGGGGCGGCAATGGCGTCGGCGATGACCTCTACTCGTTTGGCTTTGATGGCGCTCATCTGTGGACAGGAGGACGCAAGACGCTTGTAGCGGACGCTTTGCCCGAGGAGCCATACATACGCAAGGGCGACGTCGTTGGTGTGGCCATTGATCTGTCCGTGCCGGTCATTACGTTCACCTTTAACGGCAACAAGGTGCGCGGCTGCTTCAGGGACTTCAATCTGGACGGCATGTTCTTCCCGGTGATGAGTTGCTCCTCCAAGCTCAGCTGTCGCTTTCTGTTTGGCGGCGATCACGGCCGTCTGAAGTATGCCCCACCCGCGGGCTTCTCGGCGCTCGTACAGTGCCTGATGCCGCATCAGATCCTAAGCTTGGATCCCTGCTTTTACTTTGGCAATCTGAGCAAAAATGTGCTGGCCGGTCCCTGGCTCATCGAGGACGACACAGCGTTTGTGCCGAAGCCAGTGGACACGACAGGCGTGACCCTGCCCAGCTCCGTGGATCAGATTAAGGAGAAGCTCGCCGAGAACATACACGAGATGTGGGCTCTGAACAAGATCGACGCCGGCTGGACCTGGGGAGAGCAGCGCGACGACTACCATCGCATACATCCCTGTCTCACACAGTTCGAGAAGCTGCCAGCTGCTGAGAAGCGTTACGACAATCAACTAGCGGTCCAAACATTGAAGTAAATAGCAGCCAAAGATTGAAAAAGACTCCAAATCGAATTATGTCCATTTCCATTACAGAACTATCATCTCTTTGGGCTACTATATAACCATGGATAAGCCGCCAGCACGCATACGACCCGTGCGCCTGCCCAACGAGATATTTATGCAGGCCAACGGCTACAAGCCGGCACCGCTCGACCTGAGCGCTGTGACCCTGACGCCCAAGCTGGAGGAGCTCGTCGATCAGCTGGCCGAGAACACACACAATCTCTGGGCACGCGAGCGCATCCAACAGGGCTGGACCTACGGCCTAAACGAGGACTCTGAAAATCACCGCAGTCCCCACCTGGTGCCCTATGCCAAGGTCGATGAGGCCATCAAGAAAGCGAATCGTGACACTGCCTCCGAGACAGTGCGCACCCTGCTGGTCTACGGCTATGTGCTGGATCCGCCCACCGGCGAAGGCACCGAAGCTCTGCTAGCCGAGGCACAACGCCTGAAGTTCGCCGCCTTTCGCACATATCGCGTGGAACGCAACTACGCCGTCACCTCTGGCAAATGGTATTTCGAATTCGAGGTGCTGACAGCGGGTCCAATGCGCGTGGGCTGGGCACGGGCCGATTGCTATCCGGGCGCCATGTTGGGCAGCGAGGACACCAGCTGGGCGTTTGATGGCCACAATGTGAGTATGCAGGGTTCTAGGTTTTCCGATTGTAGGATGATTGGTATATTATGATGAGCGAAGGTTCCATTTGTGGATAAATGTGCTGTGATGTCTAGTTCACAATGTTTGGTTCGACTTTAATGCAAGCTCAAATTCAAAACCCTCCAAACATGATAATGATTATAGGTAACGAAAATGCATGCCGGAACGATCGAGCACTTTGGTGTTCGCTATGAGGCTGGTGACGTCATTGGTTGTTTCATCGATGTTAAGGAGCAAACCATCAGTAAGGATCCTAGCTGCACTGGCAACATTAGCAACGTTGCTTTACTTATTGAACTTTCGTTATGATCGAACGCATTTTGTTTAACTCTATTCTATTTTACTCAACTCAACTTTATTTTTTTTTACTATTATTATTCAATTATTTGTTTTCTAATCAATACATTTTTTGTTATATATAATTTAGCGATACTCTCATATCTGATCATTAACCAAACAAGCAAACAAACAAAAAAAAATACAATACGTTTAATTGGGGCTTTGATAGATCATGCGTTCAATTGATACATTTTAAACATCAAATTACAACTTTTTAGGAAGAGAAAGTCTACGGTGGCAACAGTGAATCGTTTGGTAAACAATGTGGACCCGGGGATATAGTCGGAGTCTTTTTAGATCTAGCCGATCACACAATTAGTAAGAATTGCTTCTGAATGCTCGCTCGTTTGTTGTAATGTAAAACAAAACAGAAAAAAAAAAAAAAAACTAAAAATGAATTGCCCCCAATACAAGATTTGTACATCCGTGCTTTTGATATCTACTAAATGTCCAGGTCCCTGCTATACGACAGCTAAGTACATATCCAAACCATCTCAGCAAAGCTCCAACGACAGCCCGACAGCAATTGAAAACCCATAAACAATGCAAATTTATATCAAACACTTCGAACAGGGCATCACATATCGTACTTCATAACAATCGGAGAATGTTATATACAAAAAGAAAAGAAAATGAAATTTGCATTTTTTTAGAAGTATTTTCTAGACCATTTTTGATCACTTTCAATTTTTTGTTTTTTTTTTTTAAGTCCAACAAATGTCCCATGCCTTAACACCTGATTTTTATTACTTTGATCACAAAAGCCTAACTATTGCATAATATATCGAAGGACTACCTGAGCAAAAGGTGACACATCAGCTCATCTAAAAACAAGAAAAACAAAAAGCTTATTAATTAATTCGATTTGCCTGTAAATTCACAACCTTAAGATTTGACTAATCAATGGTTGAAAATGAAATTCAATTTCGCTTTCAATTCGTCTACTAATACATATATATACTACATACTATATACAAGAATTTGGCATGATATCTAACAGCTGAAACTGCTTTTTCTTTTTGCGCCAACTAATCGGATGAACTGCAAACAGAGAATTGCAAGCCATCTAATACGCACGCATTTTGCATAGGATTTTTTTCAATGTCATTTTGATTTTCTAGTGCGATGCGACTTTTAGATGAATTTTGATTTCTATTTAGAAAGTCAAGGCATTAAGGATCGATTAACTAGTACGCACCAAACATTTTATGATCCTGCGCAGATTTCCGCCTGACTAGAACTCTTAATTTATTTAAAAGCAGCTTCGTTTAGATACTTTAATATGAATATAATCGAAATCGAATCGAAATATCGAATGAGAGTCTGATCAAATATTACCATCTACACAGGCTTCTCGTTGAACGGAGAACTACTTATGGATGCCTTGGGTGGCGAGACAACGTTCGCCGATGTCACCGCTGAGGGCGTGGGCTTTGTGCCCGCCTGCACCTTGGGAGTGGGTCAGAAGGCGCGCTTGATTTATGGCCAAGATGTGGACTCCCTCAAGTTCTTTACCACCTGCGGTCTGCAAGAGGGCTACGAGCCCTTCTGTGTGTAAGTATATAGAATAGGAAATGGGATTCTGATGGAACTGTAATTCACATCAATTTACAATTCACAGCAATATGCAACGCCCTGTTACGCATTGGTATACCAAGGATCAGCCGATTTTTGAGAATACCGAGGAAATGCCCGATTGCCGCATTGATGTGACGCGCATACCTGGCGGAGCTGATACTCCGCCCCATTTGAAGATCTCGCATAATACGTTCGAGACCATGGAGAAGGCAAATTGGGAATTCCTGCGTCTCTCCCTGCCTGTCACCTGCATGAGCGACTTCATCAGTGAGCAGGAGAAGGCGAGACGCTGGGAGGAGATCAAGCTACGCCAATATCGCTTGATGCGCGAGGCACAAGAGGCAGCCATCCAGATGCAGACCCAAAATGCTGCACACATGGATCACATGCTCAAGTCCGGCTTCAATATGAACGACATTAAGGGCTTGACGCGCAATTTCGATGATCACACCGAGGCAGAGGCCGAGCATATGATGCGCGGTCCACCACGACCACCACGCAAAGGTTCGCTCACCCGGAATATAACATTTGAGACCGACATGACGGCTGCCTTGGACGAGATGCAGCGTTCGACCTCCGTATTGGACATGAATGGCCTGGGCGATGATCTAGATGACAAAAAGAAACGTGGCCGCAGTCCGTTCAAGTTCTTTTCGAAGAAGTCACGCGACCAGAGCCGTGAGAAGAATGGCTCGAGAACCGCAGACACATCGCTGGAGCGCAGAAACACGGTGGCCCATGGCCGAAACGTGGTTAACCAGCAGATGACAACAAGAACGCCAACGTTACGTCTAAATAATGTGAGTAGGAAACAATACCCCTTGTTATACATATATATACATAGTTATTAATTCTCCCACTTTAGGCCGAAATACCGCCCAGTCCAGTGCCTCAGGGACCAAAACAATTGAGCTCCACGAATTTGGGCCAGCCATCAGTCGAATCGTCTGGCAATGAGATGTTCGATGCCGAGTGCCTCAAGCTGATTAACGAATATTTCTATGGTGTGCGCATATTCCCTGGCCAGGATCCCACCCACGTCTACGTCGGCTGGGTTACCACCCAATACCATTTGCATAGTCGCGAATTCAATAAGAATAAGGTGCGACGCGCCTCGGTCTACATTGAGGACTATTATGAAGTGCCCATTGAGCGCATCGATCGTCAGAGCTGTTATGTGGTGCGCGCCGACGAGCTGTTCAATGAGGTAACCCAAGACGCCTCTGGCAAAGGTGCATCGCAGGGTATGTTTGTCGGTTGCTTTGTGGACACGGCGACGGGCATAATACGCTTCACCTGCGAGGGCAAGGAAACCTCGCATCGCTGGATGATGGAACCGGACACCAAACTGTTTCCGGCCATTTTCGTCGAAGCCACCAGCAAGGAGATCCTGCAAATTGAGCTGGGACGCACACCAACCACGCTCCCACTGTCGGCAGCCGTGCTGCCCACCAGTGACAAGCACATCAATCCCCAGTCCCCGCCTCGCTTGAAGGTGCAGTGCCTGCGTCCGCATCAATGGGCGCGTGTGCCCAACACCTCACTACAGGTGCATGCGCTGAAGCTGTCCGATATTCGGGGCTGGTCAATGCTCTGCGAGGATCCTGTATCAATGCTGGCCCTGCACATACCCGAAGAGGATCGCTGCATCGATATATTGGAGCTGATTGAGATGGATAAACTGCTGTCCTTCCATGCTCACACTCTCACGCTCTACGCTGCGCTGTGTTATCAATCAAATTATCGTGCCGCGCACGCGCTCTGCCAGCATGTCGATCAGAAGCAACTGCTCTATGCCATACGCTCGGAGTATATGAGTGGACCACTGCGTCAGGGATTCTATGATCTGCTGATAGCGCTGCATCTGGAATCGCATGCCACCACAATGGAGGTATGCAAAAATGAATATATTACACCGTTGGGCCCCGAGCTGAAGGAACTTTATGCTGAGGATGAGATGCGTCACTCACTTCGTTCCCTTGTCACGGAGTCTGTGCGTCCGCAGTTGCGTATGACGGAAATCACGTAAGTGCTAAGTGATCTAAGCTAAGTTCCTTGGGTAGCCACACTGTCATAGTTTATCGTATTTACATACTTGTCCATACTTTCGACGACGAGCCTTAAGTATGAATGGCTCGATCGTTCGATGGTTTGTTTTAGTCATGATGCACCTGTGATTTCCTCATAACTCATTTTATTTCCAATACTTTTAATCCAACAAAAAAAACAAAAAAAAACAAAATATATAAAAACAAAAACACCTGCACTGATCCAACACTCTATGCACCATCAATCGAACCGATACCGATTACCGATCACAACAACAACAACAACCGTTCCACCCGTTCAGTCCCCCTGTGATTGCAACATCTAGTATGCCAAGTGTTTCCAGCGAACCGATACCCAACATCGATCAGTTGTATTCCCCGAAGTTCCCATTAGAAGTAGTCAGAGAATTTGTAATGGAGGCACTCAAAGATGCTGTGGAAATAAATCAAGTGCATAACCGTGATCCCATCGGTTGGACCAACGAGAATCTATTCTTGTAAGTATAGTGCATCCATATACACATACATTCCATATTTAATAAATCTCCTTATTAACTCTTATAGGCCACTCATCAAGCTAACGGATCGCCTACTGTTAGTTGGCGTCCTTACTGATGAGGACGTACAAAAACTATTAGTAATGGTGGATCCAGAAACTTGGGACCCCACTTTCGAAAGAGGTGGGAGAGAAGCAAATGAAATTATTCTATATTTATAATATCCCATAAATGTTACATAACTAATTGGTTTCATTCGCTGTTTGCAGAGGGAAAAGATGAGCACCGCAAGGGTTTGCTCACCATGAAAATGGCTGAAGGAGCCAAGCTACAAATGTGCTACCTATTGCATCATCTATACGACACACAGCTCCGGCATCGGGTGGAGAGCATTATAGCATTCTCTCACGATTTTGTGGGCGATCTGCAAACCGATCAGTTGCGCCGTTATATTGAGATTAAACAATCCGATTTGCCAAGTGCTGTTGCGGCCAAAAAGACTAAGGAATTCCGTTGTCCACCCAGAGAACAAATGAATCAGATTCTTTGCTTCAAGAATCTCGAAGCTGACGATCAGGACAATTGCACCTGTGGTCTTGAGTTGCGCAGTCGCTTAAGCGAATTCCACGACTCTCTAATGCAAAAGGTATCGCTGAATGCGCTGCAGGAGCCGGATGGTACTGAGACAAATGCAATCGAAGAGATCAAAACGGGACCCATAACAAAGATCTACAATTTCATCAATACCGTCAAGGAGCTAGAGGAGGGACCCAAAGAAGTGGAGGAGCCTGAGAAAAAGACACCTGAAGAGGTTTTCCGCAAAGTTCTAATCAAAACCATCGTCAGCTGGGCTGAGGAATCACAAATCGAGAATCCAAAATTAGTTCGCGAAATGTTCAGCTTACTGGTACGGCAATACGATACGGTCGGTGAGCTGGTACGTGCTCTGGAGAAGACCTACGTGATCAACAATCGCGCACGAGATGATGTGGCTGAGATGTGGGTTGGCTTAAGCCAGATTCGTGCATTGCTGCCCGTACAAATGAGCCAGGAAGAAGAGGAGCTGATGCGTAAGCGCTTATGGAAACTGGTAAACAATGCCACATTCTTCCAGCATCCGGATTTGATACGCATCTTACGTGTGCACGAAAACGTAATGGCCGTCATGATGAATACTCTAGGCCGTCGTGCGCAGGCACAAAGCGATGCTCCCGCCCAGACCGAGGGAGCTGAGGGCGTGCCCTCAAAGGAGAAGGACACCTCGCACGAAATGGTTGTGGCTTGTTGTCGCTTCCTATGCTACTTTTGCCGTACCGGACGTCAGAATCAGAAGGCCATGTTCGATCACTTTGACTTTTTGCTGGACAATGCGAACATATTGTTAGCCAGGCCCAGTCTGCGTGGTTCCACCCCATTGGATGTGGCATATTCGAGTTTAATGGAGAACACAGAATTAGCTCTGGCACTTAGGGAACACTATTTGGAGAAGATTGCAGTTTACCTGTCCAGATGTGGATTGCAGAGCAATTCTGAGCTGGTCGAGAAGGGCTATCCCGATTTGGGCTGGGACCCGGTCGAGGGTGAACGATATCTGGACTTTTTGCGCTATTGCGTTTGGGTCAATGGCGAGAGTGTCGAGGAGAATGCCAACCTTGTCATTCGTCTTCTTATCCGTCGTCCAGAATGTTTGGGACCGGCTCTAAGAGGAGAAGGGGAAGGTCTCTTCCGTGCAATCGTCGAGGCCAATCGTATGTCGGAGCGCATATCGGATCGTTGCAAAATGCAAGACGAGGCCGAAGGCACCATAGCTGGACTTAATTTTACCCATCCCCTACCAGAAGGCGACGAAGATGAGGACTATATCGATACAGGTGCCGCCATATTGAATTTCTATTGCACACTTGTTGACCTGCTGGGCAGATGCGCCCCCGACGTGTCTGTCATCGAGCAAGGCAAGAACGAATCACTGAGAGCTAGAGCTATTTTGAGATCTCTTGTGCCACTGGAAGACCTTCAAGGTGTGCTTAGCCTAAAGTTTACACTCACCCAAACTGCTCCCGGTGAGGAGAAACCAAAATCGGATATGCCATCTGGCCTCTTACCCAATAACAAACAGAGTATTGTCCTCTTTTTGGAACGTGTTTACGGCATAGAGACACAAGATCTATTCTATCGGCTGCTCGAAGACGCTTTTCTCCCAGATCTGCGTACAGCCACAATTTTGGATAAGAGTGATGGCTCAGAGAGCGATATGGCATTGGCCATGAATCGCTATATTGGCAACTCCATTTTGCCACTGCTTATCAAGCACTCAAAGTTCTATAACGAAGCTGAGAACTATGCAAGTCTCTTGGATGCCACGCTGCACACGGTCTATAGGTTATCCAAGAACCGTATGCTAACCAAGGGACAGCGAGAGGCAGTATCCGATTTTCTAGTAGCGCTGACGTCACAAATGCAACCTGCCATGCTCTTAAAGCTATTGCGCAAGTTGACTGTTGATGTATCCAAGCTATCCGAATATACGACCGTCGCACTCAGGGTAAGATCTATACTCTTGACCCACTTTAAGAGAATCATTAACTAATCAGATCTCTCGTATTTATAGCTGCTCACACTACACTTCGATCGCTGCGCTAAGTACTATGGCTCGACTCAAGGCCAAGGCTCATATGGAGCTTCGTCAGATGAGGAGAAGCGTCTAACGATGCTTCTCTTCTCAAATATTTTTGACTCGCTGAGCAACATGGACTATGACCCGGAACTGTTCGGTAAAGCATTGCCCTGCCTAATTGCCATCGGCTGTGCCCTGCCACCAGACTACAGCTTATCGAAGAATACCGATGAGGACTATTATGGCAGACAAATGGGCGCACCAGATCAGCCACAATATGTGCCAAATCCAATTGATACGAACAATGTACATTTGGACAATGATTTGAATTCGTTGGTTCAAAAGTTCAGCGAGCATTATCACGATGCTTGGGCCAGTCGCCGTTTGGAGGGAGGCTGGACATATGGTGAAATTCGATCCGATATCGAACGCAAGCACCCACGCCTAAAGCCTTACAATATGCTCAGTGAATATGTACGTAGTATACATATATCAATATCAATCAGCTCGACTTCTAACTTCTAATGGGCATACGACTCATCGCTAATCGACATCTCATATCTATGCATATTTATATTTCTCTATTTATATCTAATATTTATTTACACATCCTCACAGGAGCGTGAACGCTACCGAGATCCGGTGCGTGAATGCCTCAAAGGTCTTTTGGCCATTGGCTGGACCGTTGAGCACTCTGAAATCGATTTGCCACTCAATCATCGTGGCTCGACGCGTCGTCAATCGAAGCCCCAAATTGTATGTATTATAACAGTAATAGACTAACCAAATATATTTTTCCCAAAAATTGATTTCATTAACGCCATTCCAAAAATTTCTTACGCTACCAATCACGGAATATCCCTATCAAACAATTGGCCACTTCCACACCTCCACATTCACTTGAAAACCCTTTGGTGCTTACACAAATAGCATGATTTTCAGAATGAAGGCAACCCCTTCAACTATAATCCACATCCTGTGGACATGAGCAACCTGACGCTCAGCAGAGAAATGCAAAATATGGCCGAACGTCTGGCCGAAAACTCTCATGATATTTGGGCGAAGAAGAAGAACGAGGAGTTAAATGGATGCGGCGGAGTTATACATCCACAATTGGTGCCCTATGACCTGCTCACCGACAAGGAGAAGAAGAAGGATCGCGAGCGCTCCCAAGAGTTCCTCAAATACATGCAGTATCAGGGATACAAGTTGCACAAGTAAGGATTATGATAGCTCTAGGATGTACATTTATGAAACTGCAATGATCATAAAACCCTAATTCTTTGTAGGCCCTCGAAGGGTGGCGCTGTTGAGGAAGGCGGTGCCACACAAGCTGCCGTTGAGTTGCGCTTCTCCTATTCACTGCTAGAGAAGCTCATCCAATATCTGGACCGTGCCACCATCAACATGAAGCTACTGAAGCCATCGACCACGTTCAGCCGACGCAGCTCCTTCAAGACGGCATCGCGGGACATCAAGTTCTTCTCAAAGGTCGTGTTGCCTCTAATGGAGAAGTATTTCTCGACGCATCGCAATTATTTTATCGCTATTGCCACGGCAACGAACAACATAGGCGCCGCATCGCTAAAGGAGAAGGAAATGGTTGCCTCCATATTCTGTAAATTGGCTGCTCTGTTGCGCAATCGCCTGAGCGCCTTTGGGCCTGATGTGCGCATCACCGTGCGCTGCCTGCAAGTACTGGTCAAGGGCATCGATGCCAAGACTTTGACCAAGAATTGCCCCGAATTCATACGCACATCGATGCTGACGTTCTTCAATCAAACTTCTGATGATCTGGGCAACACGATCATGAATCTACAGGATGGCAAGTACAGCCATTTGCGTGGTACACATCTAAAGACCTCCACGTCACTGGGCTATGTAAATCAGGTGGTGCTACCGGTGCTAACTGCAATGTTTGATCACCTGGCTGCCTGTGATTACGGTAGTGATCTGCTGCTCGACGAGATTCAAGTGGCCTCATATAAGATTTTAGCTGCCCTATATCACTTGGGCACCGATGCGACACTGACACACGATCGCAAATATTTGAAAACGGAAATCGAGAGGCATCGACCTGCCTTGGGCTCCTGCTTGGGCGCCTACAGCTCGTGCTTCCCAGTTGCCTATTTGGAGCCGCATCTCAATAAGCACAATCAGTACTCCTTGCTCAATCGCATTGCAGACCATTCGCTGGAGGCCCAGGACATTATGGTCAAAATGGAAAGCTGTATGCCCAATTTGGAAGCGATCCTCAATGAAGTGGATCAGTTTGTTGAGTCGGATAAGACTTATGCCGATGCACCGCACATCATCGATGTTATATTGCCGCTGCTCTGCGCCTATTTGCCATTCTGGTGGTCCCAGGGTCCGGATAACGTGAGTCCAACTAGTGGCAACCATGTGACCATGGTCACCGCGGATCACATGAATTCGCTGCTGCGCAATGTGCTCAAGATGATCAAGAAGAACATTGGCAATGATAACGCGCCCTGGATGACACGCATTGCGGCCTACACCCAGCAGATAATCATCAATACATCAGAGGAGCTGCTCAAGGATCCATTCCTGCCACTGGCGGAGCGTGTCAAGAAGCGTACCGAGAACATGCTGCACAAGGAGGACAGCATGCGAGGATTTATAAAATCGGCCACAGATGATACTTCGCAAGTGGAGACGCAACTACAAGAGGATTGGAATTTGCTTGTGCGAGACATATACTCATTTTATCCGCTACTCATCAAATACGTGGATCTGCAGCGCAATCATTGGCTAAAGGATAACATCCCTGAGGCCGAAGAGCTGTACAATCATGTTGCCGAGATCTTCAATATCTGGTCAAAGAGTCAATACTTCTTGAAGGAGGAGCAAAACTTTATATCGGCCAATGAAATTGATAATATGGCTCTGATAATGCCAACGGCGACGCGACGATCGGCCATATCCGAGGGCGTGCCGGCAGTGGGTGGCAAGGTCAAGAAGAAGAAGAAGAACAGAGACAAGAAACGTGACAAGGACAAGGAGGTGCAAGCCAGTTTAATGGTTGCCTGTCTGAAGCGTCTACTGCCCGTAGGCCTCAATCTATTCGCTGGTCGCGAACAGGAGCTGGTGCAGCATTGCAAGGATAGATACTTGAAGAAGATGAACGAATACGATGTCATAGAATTCGCACGCAATCAGTTGACATTGCCTGACAAACTGGACCCATCCGATGAGATGTCGTGGCAGCATTACCTCTACTCGAAACTGGGCAAGACTGAGGATCCAGTCGATGAACAGGCCTTGGAGAAGGTGAATGCCAATTCGAATGAGAAGGGTAAAGACAAGACGACAGAGACCGTTGATCGAATTGTGGCCATGGCTAAGGTTCTGTTTGGCCTGCATATGGTAAGTAGACGGGGAGAGGGGGTTCACATTCTATACCCACATATGGTATTGCAAATACATATACTCTGATACAAGTCTCTTTCCTTTCTCTTGTATTTTATATACACATATATGTGTTTATTTCTCAATACCAACTGATATTACTTACTTATATACATATCTATATATACTTTTATACTTATAATATACTTTCTCAATTTTGCACTTTTTATTAACTTTTCTTTTCGATACGATTTGCCCCAAATAAATCTATAACGTACATTTCAACGACATATAATTTCCAACTGCTGACCAAACCGTGAACGAAACAATTACAGATCGACCATCCACAACAGCAGAGCAAAAATGTCTACAGGAGCGTTGTGTCAATACAAAGGAAGCGTGCCGTAATCGCATGTTTCCGTCAGACATCGCTACATTCTCTACCCAGGTTATTACCGATATATTCACTGCATTACTAATACACATGCGTGCGCACGTTTAAACAACCGCTCAAGCTGATGGGCTCAAGTGTGTGTGTGTATGTATGTAAAGTAACGGTACTTTATATGAAGATCAACATTTAGTTATTTAGAAAACGGGCTCTATTTACTTACATGCATACAAAGCTTTAGTTAAAACATGGAACCAAGCGTTAGGCCTTTACACAGATTTGAATTAATATGATTTTTTTAATTTACATCACATTCCGCACTTTGTTTTTCTTTTTTTGTATTTCGTTCACCCACTGATTTCAACTAACGAAAAATGTACTAAAACGCAATACCACTTAGTGTGACCGTAGTGCTGTAACTCATCCTTCTCTTTTAATATGTATGTATGTATTTTTATGCTCTTGCTTGCTATTGTACCGCTCCATATAGGCATCCGGCGCCAAGAACAAAACAAAACGTTGGAGTTCCAAAATTTCGGTCGCTCGACGCCAGGCAGTTATATCAAGCTTACGCGCCAAGCATCTATATCGTATGAGCAGGTGGTAGCCGCAAAATACTAATATCTTATACGAATACACATACATATCTTATACATCTATACATATGAATATAAGTGTGCAATTGATTGCAATTATGTATTTCTGTTTATTTAGTATTTAAGCTCTTGCAGACTGCTGTATTTAATATGTACTATGTCCATGGTCACTCTGTCCACTGTCCACACATTAAAATTGAATATTTTTCCCAACAGATCTGCAAGGGTTTTGTTGAAAGTTCGGCGTACCGATAAGCTTTTATTTCGTAGTGTTTTTTTTTTTTTTTTAGCAGTTTAACTCGAATACTAAAAGCATGCCACTTGTGTTAACGTTGTTCAGATTCCAATTGGAATTAATAACGATCTCTTGTTGCCTGCAGACATCGTGCTTGCAATATTTTTGCTCGCACCTACTACGAGCAATGGCTGCAGGAGGAGAACGTCGGCCAGGAGGTGATGATCGAGGATCTGACGCAGACATTTGAAGAGTCGGAGAAATCTAAGAAGGATGAAGAGGAAACGGACGGCAAGCCAGATCCGTTGACTCAGCTGGTGACCACCTTCTGTCGTGGTGCCATGACAGAACGCAGTGGCGCACTTCAGGAGGATTTACTGTACATGTCCTATGCACAAATCGCAGCCAAGTCTTGCGGCGAAGAGGAAGAGGAAGGTGGTGACGAGGGCGAAGGGGGCGAGGGCGGCGAAGAGGGCGAAGGCACAAGTATTCATGTAAGCTAAGCGAAAGTTCTGAAAATAAATACTAAATTATGTACTGACTAATCCCAATCCCAATTGTGCTTGCAAACTAATCTTATTTGAATATACAGTGCCGCATGTCAAAACTAATGGTAAATATTGTAACATTCTGATTAGAAAATTGAACTGAGAGTTGATTTATAATATAATTAAGCTCTATCCGTTCCACTAACAGCTACGTCTTTCTTACATACCCAATATATAATCCAATTTCCAATCTTCTAAACAGGAACAAGAAATGGAGAAACAGAAGCTACTGTTCCATCAAGCGCGTCTGTCGAATCGTGGCGTTGCCGAAATGGTGCTGTTGCACATATCCGCCTCCAAAGGTATACCTTCGGAGATGGTCATGACGACACTCAATTTGGGCATCGCCATACTGCGTGGCGGCAACATCGACATTCAAATGGGTATGTTGAATCACTTGAAGGAGAAGAAGGATGTGGGCTTCTTCACTTCCATAGCCGGGCTGATGAACTCGTGCAGTGTGCTCGATCTGGATGCATTCGAGCGCAACACAAAGGCCGAGGGTAAGTGCTCCTTAATGATTTTCCTTGCTGTGTGAACCGGATGCAATCCTGCTTGACGTTTGCCGAGCCCTTAACTTATAATTGATTATGATTATTACWATTATTATTAGTCTTATTATTATTATTGTGATTCTGGCATCATCACGTCTCATGCTGCGCCTTATTCTAAGTTAAATTATTGATTTCGTCTCTCCTTCCAACTACTTTCCCCCCAAATCATCCAACATATACACACGCATGCCGTTTATATCCCGTATCCCGTATATATGTATATGTACCTGATCCCCGCTATCGTTGTAAAAACCAAACCACAAAAACAAAGAGTATATTCCAAGTGCGGGTGCAGGTCTTGGTGTCGGCTCGGAAGGCGCTGCGGGTGAGAAGAATATGCACGATGCGGAGTTCACGTGTGCTCTATTCCGATTCATTCAGCTAACCTGCGAGGGTCACAACTTGGGTAAGTCGCTCAGCAACGATCTGGGAATCAATTCATATATATACATTTTCTTTATCCTTTCTAGAATGGCAAAACTATTTACGTACCCAGGCGGGCAATACGACTACGGTGAATGTGGTCATCTGTACGGTGGATTATTTGCTGCGTCTGCAGGAATCGATTATGGACTTCTATTGGCACTACTCCAGCAAGGAGATCATTGACCCAGCTGGCAAGGCGAACTTCTTTAAAGCCATCGGCGTGGCTAGCCAAGTGTTCAATACCCTCACTGAGGTCATCCAGGGTCCGTGTACCTTGAATCAGCAAGCCTTGGCCCATTCCAGATTGTGGGATGCGGTCGGCGGCTTTCTATTTCTATTTTCGCATATGCAAGACAAACTCTCGAAGCATTCGAGTCAGGTGGATCTGCTAAAGGAGCTGCTCAATCTACAAAAGGATATGATCACCATGATGTTGTCCATGCTGGAAGGCAATGTTGTGAATGGTAAGTCTAATATATACTATTTCCATAGCAATATCACAAATATCTTCCCAAACTTTCTCAGGCACAATTGGCAAGCAGATGGTGGACACCCTTGTTGAGTCGGCTAGCAATGTTGAGCTGATTCTCAAGTATTTCGATATGTTCCTGAAATTGGCCGACTTGATTGAGTCGCCCAGTTTCCATGAGATTGATATGAAGAACGAGGGCTGGGTAATACCCAAGGATTTCAGAGACAAAATGGAGCAGTCCAAGAACTACACACCGTAAGAGTAAAGAATCCCTGTGAGATTAGACAACTATTTAACATTCGTCTTTTACCTTTTTTTCCAGGGAGGAAATGGATTTCCTTTTGGCCTGCTGTGAACGCAATCACGAAGGCAAAATAGATTATAGAGCCTTTGTCGAACGTTTCCACGAGCCATCAAAGGAGATCGGTTTCAACCTGGCTGTGCTGCTGACCAATCTCAGTGAACACATGCCCAATGAGCCGCGCCTGGCGCGCTTCCTGGAGACCGCTGGCTCTGTGCTGAACTATTTCGAGCCGTTCCTGGGTCGCATCGAAATCTTGGGCAGCTCGAAGCGTATTGAGCGTGTTTACTTTGAGATCAAGGACTCGAACATCGAGCAATGGGAGAAGCCACAGATTCGCGAATCGAAACGCGCCTTCTTCTACTCGATTGTCACGGAGGGCGGCGACAAGGAAAAGCTGGAAGCATTTGTTAACTTCTGTGAGGATGCGATCTTTGAGATGACCCACGCCTCTGGCCTGATGGCCACGGACGATGGCGGCGGCAATGTGAAACGGGATACGGCCTACAGTTCCTACATGAGCGAAGAGGAGGAAGAGCGCGCCGCTCGCGATCCGATTAGACGCACAATAACTGCTGTCAAGGATGGCCTGAAGTTCGGAGTTCACATGCTAAGTCCCTCAAACATCAAGCACCAAATTGGAGTTATGCAAACAAAATCGATACCTGAACTGATTGTTGGATTCTTTAAGATAATCTTCTATATGTTCTACTACACGGGTTACGCCCACTACTGTGTGGTGCGCTATATCTTTGGCATACTGTTGAATCTGATGCGTGGTCCCGCACCCGAGCAGGAGGATGAAGTGGCTGTAGTTGAGGAGGAGACATTTGGACGTGCGCTGCCGCCGTTGCCGCTGGAGGAGCCACCGGGCCCGGTTCAAGCATTCGGCTTGGACATAAACAAAGAGGAAAACGGCGTGTACAAGGTGGTGGTCCACGAGTCGCCAGCCAGCTCATCTGTGGAGGAGGGCGGTGAGTCTAGCCCAGAAGATGGCGCAGCTCCAACCGGAGAACTAGTCGAAGGCGAACTGCATCAGGAACCCATTTCAATTGTCGATATGCTCGGTGGTGAGGCGGCTAAGAAGGCAGCTCAGGAGCGTCAGGAGGCGCAGAAGGCCCAAGAGGCAGCCATGGCATCCATTGAAGCGGAGGCCAAGAAGTCATCGGCAGCACCACAAGAGACACCAGCGGTGCACCAGATCGACTTCTCGCAGTACACGCACCGCGCCGTCAGCTTCTTGGCTCGCAACTTTTACAATTTGAAATATGTGGCGCTCGTCTTGGCTTTCAGCATTAACTTTATGTTGCTCTTCTACAAGGTGACCTCATTCAACGAGGAATCAGAAGGATCGGCCGAAGAGGAGCTTATTCTGGGCTCTGGCTCGGGTGCTGGTGCTGACATGGCTGGCTCTGGTCTGGGTGGCTCGGGCGATGGGTCGGGCGATGGCGATTTCGAAGACGATGACATACCGGAACTGGTGCACGTGGATGAGGACTTCTTCTATATGGAGCATGTGCTGCGCATTGCCGCACTGCTCCACTCCCTAGTATCGCTGGCCATGCTCATCGCTTACTATCATCTAAAGGTGCCGCTGGCCATATTCAAGCGAGAAAAGGAAATTGCACGTCGTCTGGAATTCGATGGTCTCTTCATAGCCGAGCAGCCGGAGGATGATGACTTCAAGTCCCACTGGGATAAGCTGGTCATATCGGCCAAGAGTTTCCCTGTCAATTACTGGGATAAATTTGTCAAGAAGAAGGTCAGGCAAAAGTACAGTGAGACCTACGACTTTGACTCAATCTCGAATCTGCTGGGCATGGAGAAGAGCGCCTTTACGGCACAGGAGAGCGAGGAGACGGGCATTCTGCGCTACATCATGAACATCGATTGGCGCTATCAGGTGTGGAAGGCTGGAGTCACCTTTACGGACAACTCCTTCCTCTACTCACTGTGGTACTTCAGCTTCTCGGTGATGGGCAACTTTAACAACTTCTTCTTTGCCGCCCATTTGCTGGATGTGGCCGTTGGCTTTAAGACACTGCGCACGATTCTGCAGTCCGTAACCCACAATGGCAAACAGCTCGTTCTGACCGTGATGCTCCTGACGATTATCGTTTATATATACACGGTGATTGCGTTCAACTTCTTCCGCAAGTTCTACATACAGGAGGAGGATGAGGAGGTGGACAAGAAGTGCCATGACATGTTGACCTGTTTCGTCTTCCATTTGTACAAGGGCGTTAGAGCAGGCGGTGGCATTGGCGACGAAATCGGGGATCCGGATGGAGATGATTATGAGGTCTATCGCATCATCTTCGACATCACATTCTTCTTCTTCGTCATTGTCATCCTGTTGGCCATCATCCAGGGTTTGATTATCGACGCTTTCGGCGAGCTGCGTGATCAATTGGAATCGGTCAAGGATAATATGGAATCGAATTGCTTTATTTGTGGCATGGGTAAGGACTTCTTTGATATAGTCCCGCATGGCTTCGATACGCACGTGCAGAAGGAGCACAATCTGGCCAACTATATGTTCTTCCTGATGCATTTGATCAATAAACCGGATACCGAGTACACCGGCCAGGAGACGTACGTGTGGAATATGTATCAACAGCGCAGCTGGGACTTCTTCCCAGTGGGCGACTGCTTCCGCAAGCAGTACGAGGACGAACTCTCTGGCGGCGGCGGTGGCGGAGGCTGAGCTCTTGGGCTCCACTTAGTCGCGTTTTTACTACAATTTCTATGATGATCGTTAATATCTCTATTATAATATTGATATATGTTTGAATTCTCTCAATAATAAATCATATTCTAATTAATTTAAGTATATATTTTACATACAATACGGATGCTTGACCAAATAAATCGATTCATTTTTACCGAAGTTGAAAGCAACGTCAATTCATTGTTATATACTTATTTAATTTTTTTTTTTATGAAATACACATTGATAACATCAATAAATATAAAATATGTTAACTTATTTATAATAACAAATCACATAATTTAATGTTTTTCTTTAAATTTCATAAATTTTTGTTTGAAAATCACAGCTACTTAATCCATGTTTAACACCTAAATTTGGCTTAGATAAAAATTAGTTACATTCTAATTGCTTGGTGGACATTTAACGAGCATATTGTTCATATCTTTGTGCGATATATATATATAGTATATATATACTTTACAAGTGCCATTTCTATATTCTAATTCACGTTCAATTCGATTTGCCTTTTAGGCTAAATTTTGACTAGCGAAAATTGTATAATTGAAAATAATATAGAATAAATACAACGAAAATTGCAATAAAATATCAGCAATCGAGTCGCTTCTTCAAGCGAAAGAATTCGGCATTATCGATGCTATTCATATTGTCCATATGCAGATTGCGAAGTGTGCGCATGTCCGCCAAGCGATCCTCGATATCCGTATACATGCGACGGCAACGATAGATGGACAATGTCTCCAAGCATTCACAGTTCACAATTATAGAGTCGATCGTGTGATCCGTCAACTGGCTGCAGCCGCTAATGTCCAGCGAGCGTAGCCGTTGCAGTCTCTCCGTAATTATCTTAATGCCTTGATCGCTGATGTTATAGCAGTCGGATAGATCGAGTACCTCAATGGCTGGGCAGTTGTTGACTAAGGCTTCCATGCCCAGCAGTGAAATTTGCTGGCAATTCGAGAGCAACAGTTTGCTGAGCTCAATGTGCTTGAGGCCATATTTCAAAGAAACATCGCTGATTTTATTGCATCCCCGCAGATTGAGCGATCGCAATCCGCGCAGCTCTTGTATGTTGTGGCCCTCGAAGTCCTCCTCGTTGATCAGATTCATCTCGTAGGCCGCAAACATTGCCTGCTTTCGTTTCGCATCCCGCACAATCTCCTCCTCCGCCTTGCTGCGCAACGATATCTTGATCGACTGCAACGAGCCGCTGAATCCATCGGACGGTGGGTAGCTGTTTCCTATAGCAGAGCTGCGATTCAGCTCTAGCTTAGCTATATTGATGCCAGTCAAAGCGGCATCTGTTAACTAAAAGAAAATAGTAATCAGTCAATAAATTATGCCTAGGAACTCCCTTTATATTCTCCACTCACCCGACAACAGCTCTCGAGCGAGAGCTCTCTCAACCAGCACAGCTGTTGGATTATGAGCTGCATTACCTCATCTGTGACAGCATTGACGCAATGATTGAGATGCAGCGTGCGTAGAGCGTGCAGATTCCTGGCTATTGACTTGATGGACTCCTCACAGATGGTCAGATAAGAGACGTTCAGCTCCTCGAGGACATTATTCTCTGCACTAGCGATGCCCTCTATTATCCCACTGCTATTGATGCCATCGCAATTGGATATATCGAGCAGGCGCAATCGAGACAAATTGCGTAAGCTTGCAGCGCCTGTATTCGAGATGCCGGCACATGCATTGATCTTCAATTCCTGCAGCAAGGGATTTGCCTGAACGATTACCGCCACGCAATCATCATTCAGGCACATCGTCGACGACAGATCCAGAACTCTCAGTTGAGCTTGAGTGTAGAGAAAGCTGCGTATGGTCGAGGCATTCAGTTGCCTGCAGCCCGCCAAATAGAGGCGTCGCAGCTGCAGCCCGGGCTGAGCCTGTTCGTCGGCCTTGCTCAGCTCAATAAGAGCCATTAGCGAGTGGCCGATGAGCGTGTGACTGAAGTCGAGAGTGTGCAGGACTCTCCGCTGCTGGCTGATCACATTTTGTATGTATTTGAATGTCAGCACCGATTCACTGGGCGTGCTGGGCTCGTTTGGATAGAAGCGTCGATGGATGGCGTTGTGAAAGGAGATCTGACAGCCGGACATATTCAGCAATTCCAAATTGGGCATTAGGGCTGTTAATCTCAGTAGTATAGCATCGGTTAGATATTGATTTTTGCATATTGTCAATTCTCTGATACCAGCCAAATGTGCTGATATCTCATTCAAGTCACACGAATTGCTATCCAAAAACGTGGCGGACATGAACAAAGGCAAACATCGTGTCACCGAAAGGATTTGCAGATGGGGCAACAGGCTCAATATGCCATAGAATTGTTTGTCATTCAGGTCGACATTATCCAGGCTCAAGGAGTGCGCCGACTCGCCAATGAATGTCATCAGCTCCTGCACCTGACCCAGCGTCACATCCTCGAACAGAAAGTGTCGAAATCGTCGCTCACATCGCATCAAATCTAACGCAGGACTATGTTGATCCGATAAAACAATCTTCGAGAAGCGTACGCGGGTGCGTGCGATGAATTCAGTATGATATAGAGCGCTTCTCCAACGTTGACAGGTCGTGCCAGCTGCCAACAAATCCGAATAGCCCAGATATTTATATATATGCAGAACAATCTGTATCAAATATCAAAATCATTTCATTCATCAGCTGACTTTCGGTCACGAGGAACAGAAACTGCTTTTTAAACAATGGGCATACCTCTAGGGGCAGATCACTATAGCTGTAAAGGCAATAGTCCAAGGACGTCATTCTATAGGTATATATATATTTATTAATTCCGAATTCCAAGCCCCAATAAACTAACTTTTAGTTCGACTAGACCAACACTAAACCAACTAGAACTATTAGGCAATGTGACCGTTTGGTATATTGCAAGAAATACCACACATTGCCATTGATGGTACTCCTAAAAGAAATTTTTAAATTCAAGCAAAGATCGTTACAATGCCCTTTCAAAACCTCACCTCAAAAATGGAAAAACTTAAGAAAACACTGTAAAAATTTAAAACGCGCCAAAAGTACGCAATTGAAATACCTTGAAAAAAAATTCTACTGAGCCAAACCAGTATTTTTTAAGCACAGCTGTTTTACGTCTTTCGCGATATATTTTCTTTTATTGCTGAGGCCACACTTTGTCTATGACATCAGTTTCAGCTTTGCTGTCCAATTTTGATTCGTAAAACTTTCTGCAAACTTGCGCAAAATAGCAACTAGTCAATAAACTGTCGAAGATAAGTAATCGCAGTGCCCAACATAATGGCCGATCCAAAATTTCAAAACCTGCCCGGCATTGTAAGCTACAAAGTTAATGAATTACTCATAGAAATCAGCTTTTACATACATACATATTTTATATATATATTTTCTYTAGGCTTATGACCAGCCGGATGTTTTTGAGACTCCCGACGATCCGGAGGTCGACACGTCCGACTACTATGAAGAGGAGCCAGAAAACGAGGCCATTGAGCGATTGCACATTTCGCCAAGCATTGCCCACAAACGTTTTAGCAACGCAACGCTTGAGGGAAACGTCGACTTCACGGATCGGATTGGACGTCGCTTGTGCCGGGGCTATGATGTTCGAGGCGGGGAATATGAGCTGGTGGGCCTCGGTGAAAAGGAGACGCCAGTGCAAAAGTGTCAACGCTTGCAAATTGAAATGAACGAACTACTCGATGAAGTGGCCGCTTTGCAAGTAGATAGAAAGATTGCCGACGAAGAGAAGAAATCCTATGATGCAGTCGCTACTGTGATAAGCACAGCCAAGAGAGTATTGGATACGTTGAAGCTTGAGCAAGTGCTGGGCAAAGAGCAAATGCCCAATGATAAGCAAGTGAAAGCACTTGTCGCACAAGTCGAAGAATTTAAACAATCGGGCGTGCTAACGGCTCTGCCCACACCTGGCACGGATTTGGCAGCGACAGCACGCATAGCGAATCTCGAACAGCGTCTGCATCAGCTGGAAAAGGCTGTAGGTGCACAGCCCGAGAAACTCAGTCGCCTCACAACCGTCACTAACACATCCAATGTGCTCGAGGCGGTCCGGCATTTGAGCACCAAGGCTGCTCTGCTCCAGCCGGACAAACTGGATGCGATTGAGCAACGTCTGACTACATTAACTGGCAAAATGGATGCAATCGCCGAAAAGTCCAGCGGCAGCACACAGGACGCCAAACGTGATCAGAAGGTTGCAGAGCTCTACGACCTGGCCAAACGTACCGAGCCAGTTGTTGAGATGTTGCCACATGTTATTGAAAGAATGCAAGCACTCGAAGCTTTGCATAAATATGGTAAGAAATATATGTGAATCAAATATATGAGTGCCGATTTCATAATTTATAATTACCTGTTTGCAGCTAACAACTTTGCTAAGATCATAGCGGAAATCGAGCAAAAACAAGGCACTATTACCACCAGTTTGGTCAATAATAAGGAGCTTTTACATTCTGTGCAGGAAACGTTTGCTCAAAATTTGGAAACAATCAATGCTAAAGTCGCTAAAGTTGAGCAAAGAGTTGCCGCTGTAACTAAGGCTAAATAAATAAGCTCAATATAATAAACATGTAGCACACATCTATCATTATAAAAATTATATATGATATATATTTATTTGTATCAATAAAGCAAACGCTTCAAATTTCATTAAAAATAGACAAAAAGATTGATTACTTAGGACAACGCACACACACACACACTGACGTACAGATCACCCACTCGCACTCATTAAGAATAACAATCGATTCATCGATATTTATTTGTTTGCATATCGCAAATTCGTTTGTACTTCGGTAACTGTTTTCGATAGCCGCATATCGATTGTGCCACAGCTTATAGTTCTTAAAACGGATTGGAAAAAAACTATTTATATAAAATTATAAATCATTTATACATATTGTTTTTATTTAACAATAAAAAACAAAGAAAAAGAGCTGCGTAAGTTGACAAATATTATCAGTATCAATTTACACAATGTCGCATGCTGCAGCAGTTGGCCACGCCAATGTTTTTTGAAGACGAAAAAAGTGATGACGAGGCGCGCTCCAATTGGACGTCCCATTACAATTCGCTTTAAATTTCATTAAGTTAATGTAAACGAATTTGTACTTGCAGAGCGCAACAATAATGAAAATCAAAGAGCTGCAAAAGACGGTAAACATTGCCTGGTCGCCAGCGCAGCAGCAACAAATCTTGTTAGCTGCCGGCACAGCGGCTCAGCAATTCGATTCAAATGCAAATGCCACATTAGAGATCTATTCGCCGAGCATTGGCGATGCTAGCTATGATTTGGAGCTCAAAGCTAGTGTACCCAGCGACTTCAAGTAAGCACCTATCAGGTTCTATAAATATATAGTAATTAATAAATAAAAATATCCTCCTTAGATTTCAAAAGCTGATTTGGAGTCCTCATGCAACGCATGCAAATGGATTGATTGTGGGTGGCTGTGAGGCAGGCCACATCAATGTCTACTCGGCTGCTAAGATGCTGGCCAACGAGGAGTCATTGGTGGCAAGACAGGACAAGCACACTGGCGCAGTTAGCGGCTTAGATTTTAATCCATTTCTAAACAATTTGCTGGCTTCGTGTGCTTCCGAATCGGAGATTTACATTTGGGATTTGAATAACCCAGTTACTCCACTCAATCCGGGTGCTAAAACGCAACCACTTGAGGATGTGAAGAATGTCGCTTGGAATCGGCAAGTGCAACATATCTTGGCATCAGTGTTCAGCACTCGCTGTGTCATTTGGGACTTGCGCAAGAGTCAGCAGATCATCAAGTTGTCCGATACTCAGTCGAGGGTTAGATGGCATGCCATTGAATGGCACCCGGAGGTGGCCACCCAAGTCTGGCTGGCCTCAGAAGACGATCAGGCGCCTGTGGTGCAGCTGTGGGATTTGCGTTATGCCACCGCGCCAGCAAAAACGTATCAGATCCACGACCGTGGAGTTTTGGGCATGTCCTGGTGCTTGCAGGATACTGACTTGATGGTCTCTTGTGGCAAGGATAATCGTATCTACTGCTGGAATCCCAATACTAAGATACCTGAAGGCGAAATCCTTTCAGAGGTGGCCACCACAGCCTCTTGGTATTCAGATGTGCAATTCTGTCCACGCAATCCAGCGTTGATAGCCAGCGCCAGTTTGGAAGGTGCTGTTTCTATATACTCCCTCAATGGTGGCACACACCAGCTGGTGCAGACATCGGAGAAGATTGCCGACTCTTTCCCAGGCATGGATCAATTTGCTCAGGCTCCGCTGCCCCAGCAGGCCACGCAAGTTGTCTACCATGATTTGTCGCGCGCACCCAAGTGGATGAAACGCCCATGCGGTGTAGCCTTTGGTGTGAGTATAACCAAGCATCTGCCCTATTGTATCCAACTACTTCGAGTTTCGATTACAGTTTGGTGGCAAATTAGTTAGCTTCAATAATTTATCGAAGACGGTGACGGTATCCCAGCTGACCACCGAGCCCGAGCTCGTGGAACGTGCCAATGCCTTGGAGGCGTCTCTGGCCGAGGCTGACTATGCCGAGTATTGCAGACAACGAGCAGACAAGTCTGCCGATCAACACGGCCGCTACATTTGGTACTTCATCAAAGCGAACTTTGAATTGAATCCAAAGGAAGAAATGCTCAACCTGCTAGGTAGACACGTCATTCATATCGAAATACCATAATTCTCATATGGCTCTCATTTGTACTCCCGTTTTAGGCTACAACAAGGAGGACATCGATGGCAAATTCACCAAGTACATCAAAGAGACCGAAGAGAGCAACTCGCAGTCTGACGTGGATACGCTCACAACTCGCATATCAACCCTTACACATGTGAGTTTCCGTTCTTTGTTGTCAGCTCTTATCTCTCTATGAGCATATAAACATATTATTTCTTGTCCCATATTACGTTATCAATATTTGGGCATTGCTTCAGTTCTGTTCATCTTGCGTCTTGTATATTTCACTGATAACCAAGTTTTTTTTTGTCATGCTTGCCCAACTTTCGGTGGCTTTGTAGAGCGATTCATCTGAGGTTGAATGCGATCAAAGCACCAACTCAAGCACCGATAATTCGGTAAGAAATTCGATGCGCAAGAAATTCATTAGCAAAATCTCACTCTCAATTATTGCTAATAACAATTACACTCAAATTAGTAGCTGAATTAATTTATATACAATTTAGCAAACGAACGACAATAAAACACCATTTGATGGCTCGATTGATCAGCAGACCTTGAATGATTATGGAGCTGCAGCCAGGCCGCAATTTAAGATACCCAGCGGCGATCGTAAGTGAATACACTCAATTTTATATATAGATTCATTAAATCATTTACTTTGCTGACAGATACCGACAGCTTAATTACGGAGGCCATACTCACGGGCAATGTGGAGGCAGCTGTCGAGCTCTGCCTGGAGGCACAGCGTATACCGGAGGCTTTGATCATCGCCTCGACAGCGGGCATTGAGACTCTGACACGCACGCAGACACGTTATTTGCTGCAGCAAAAGAACGAATTGTCGAATGTCATCTCGGCCTTGGTCACGCGCGATTGGCTGGACTTTGTGAATCGCTGCACCGTGGACTCTTGGAAGGAGGCACTGGTTGCTGCCCTGAAGCATAGCGAGCGCAAAGTGGTGGACATATGCGAGAGACTCGGCGATCGCTTGCTAAACGAGTCCAGCAACGGCAGCATCGAGTTGACACGCAATGCCATGCTGTGCTATATCTGTGCCGGAAGCATTGACAAGCTGGTGACTGCCTGGTATCAGCTAAAGCAACTGGAGCAACAGAATCAGAACTACAAGTTGAATACGAACGAGCTGCAGGAGTTGGCCGAAGTGGTGATGCTGCTGACCAAGTCATTGGAACAGCAGGGAATTGCTGTGGATCTAGCCGGGAGATTTGCAGGCTTCATATCGGAGTACAGTGGACTACTCGCCTCCCAGGGCGCTCTGACCGCTGCTCTGCAGTATATAACCACATTGAGCAGAGCTAATGCGGACAGCGAGGAATTGAATGAGCTGCGTGAACGCATCAGCAAAGCGGTTAGTGTTGACCAGGTGCAACCTACAGCAGCAGCAACTGCAACTCCTATGGGCTATATGCGGCAAATGGAGCCTCGTGGTTCCTTCTCAAGCCCAGCGAATTCAATGCTCTATAATCCATACAATCCAAATGCTGCTACGACAAATGGCAGCTGGCAACAGCCAGCAGCACCGCCGGCACCGGCCCCCTTCCAGCCAGCTCAACCACCCACACAGATATTCAATCCGCCACAATTGAAAGCTGAACCACTAACGCATCCGCCGCGACCACTTAGCAATGCCAGCTCCTCGAGTGGAGCTCCGCACGCCGCAGCTACACCAGCAACCGGACTTCACTCGCGATCTAAATACGTCCTGGATCCTTCGGTGGCGGCATCAAACAATCCCTATGGCATGGCCTACAACACAGTGCCAGCTCCAGCTGCTATTCCTGTCTCGCAGCCGGCCCCAGTGCCGCTGATAAATAATAGCAGCGCCTTCAACACCAATCCTCTATCTTCGGCTCAGCAATATAATCCAACTCCATTCACTGGGGCCCCTCAAAACAATTACCTACCAGGTGTTGCACCCATTGAGACAATGCCGCCTGCAGCTGCACCGCCACCACTTGTGCAGAATATACAACGTAATCCAACTCCTCCACCCGGCTGGAATGATCCACCAGCTTTGAAATCTTCCCGAGTGGTAAGTACTGCAATTTATATATTTGATATATGCGGTATATCCATGATAAACTCTTGAATTTTTAGCCCAAGCAACGACCAGCAACAGAATCTGCTGCAGCACCCATATTGCATCCACTATACGGCAGCGATCCCAATCAAAATCCGAGCAGCTATATGGATCCTAATCAATATCAGGTATTCTTTTTCCAATATTTGTACAAAATTATATGGATATCGAATGCAGGGTATCTCCTACCCGTATACATGTTTCATTTTATCAAGCTTAGCCTAAAACTAATTCTTTCATTCTTTCTTCAGCAAGGCGCTCCACCTTCTGGTACATCGTACTACAATCCTGCTGCCAATAATAATCCACAGGCTTTTCCGCCACAGCAACAGCAGCAAATGAATTTCCAACCATCGGCTGTGCCTAATCAACAACAACCACAGCAGCAACAATTCTGGCCTGGGCAGCCACAACAACAGCAATCGTTTGGCTATACCGAGCAACCTGCTCCGGTACAGGAACAGCGTCAGCCGGAGCCCGTTAAGGAGAAGCCACCACTGCCAGAGGAGTATATTTATTTGCAAACCGTTTTGGAGGAACTGAAAAACCAGTGCTTGAGCGCAACTAATGATGCGGTAAGTAGACGACAAATTGTCCCTAGACCAATTTTATTAATAAAATTATTGCTTTACAGCGCACCAAACGGAAATTTGTGGATGTGGTGAAACGCCTGGAAAATCTCTATGATTGCTTGCGCTATGAACGGGTAAGCAAACATATAAAATTTTATGTTGAGTTTTTGATCATATAAAATAATTGTTCTTTATTTTTTCAACAGCTCACATCGGGAACGGTGCAACAACTGAATCAAATTGTGCAGTTCATACAAATAGCCGATTATAATAATGCCCTTGCGGTGCACCAGCGCATCGCGTTTGGCACGGACTTTGCTCAGTGTGCGGGTTTCATGCAGGGCCTGAAAGTCTTGCTACAGTCGGCATCGGAAATGAACCTGGTTCTGCGCTAGTTGAGTGGATAAATGTTTTCATTATATGATTTAATTGTCTGTCTAAATCAAATTCACCATTATATATGTTTGTTTTCTAATTTCATTTTGTGTGTACTTCTCGGCTTTTAGTTGATGCAGTTATAATTATTATATGGTACTAAAAACTATTTCAAAACAAATTAAAAAATTATATAAAANTGTCAAAATATTCAAAGTACACGATGGACCATGTTAAATATTGGACCCAAATTGGATGATAGAATTGAACTGAGTTCCAATAGTTTGTTTTAGATATGAAGCGAAATAAACATTAAATCAAACAATGGAAGCTAACACCAATTCTAGTTGATTCTTTTCTAAGGTTTTGTTGTTGTAATTTTGTATGTTTCTCTGATGATTGAAGTAATAAACACCAAGACTAAAAAAAATGTCGTTCGCTTTATGCAATACCTGCTAAAGAATAGTTACAGTCCATATTGATCAAATTAACTACAGTTTCGGATTAATTATTAACGGATTACTCGTTCTCAGAGCTTGGTAAAGGCCTATAAAAACACGCCAGCAATTGAAAATCAATTCAAAGTTGTTTCAGCACTTGTTAATAGTTAATCATCATGCAGTTTTGCGCTGTTTTCGCCCTCAGTCTGCTGATCCTGAATTATCTCTAATTCTATCGATCCCCATTCGACTATATGCTGTAGCATAGGATTCTTGTATATATATTTCTATTTCGAAATGTTTTTCAATTGCACTCTGACTCCATCACGCTCCATGAGTTCCCTTAGCAAAATCAGCTCAGCTCATCTCATCTGCGCCCTCGGGCGAATTGATATACTATGTTATGCAGTGTGACGTGATGCTCATGAGTGCATGCCACAAGCAACAAAAGAAGGAAACTTGAATGCGGCTGCCAGTAGCAGGAATCTAGACATCCAGGCAGGCAAATGCTTGCCAATGACCAGCAGCAGCTGCGATTGGGAAATGGAGGCAGCTTCGAAACGAGACGAGACGAAACGAGACGAGGCGAGGCGAGAGGCAGCCCACAACACGTACCACTTAGTGTGTGTTTTTCTGGCTCCGACCACAAGCCGAACAATGTCCGACTCAATATCGCAGATTCATAAAAATGAATGAATGTAGGAATGCCAATCCCTTAAATCGTCGGATTGCTGCTGCTGCTGCTGCTGCTGACTCTGCTGCCATTGGAAATGGGAAATCAAGTTTGCTGAAATTGACTCTCAAGTGATGGAACGAATAGCTGGACTGGACACCAACGATTGGGGTAGATTGGGACTGAGACAGGGAATGGGATTGGGAATGGAAATAGGAATGAGAGTGGGAGTGCGAGTGAGAGTGCGAGTACGAGTACGAGTGGAATTGGTACAGCACTGGGACTGTTAGTGGGTCTGGGGAGTAACCATTAAAATGAATTGCACTGCACTTTGTGCCATCAACAGAATCAACTCCCGGACAGCGAATGATGCAGCATAGGAATGACTTAAAATACAAAATAAAATAAACTAAAAGCGCAGACATGAAAGACACAAAAAGGGAAAAGCTACGAAGGATGAAAATGCAATGCTCTTACGAGAAAATTTCGATTTGCAAAATATGAAAAAAAAATGTTGAATTTAATACCGACAAATATATAAAAAGTATATAAATCTTTCGATCCTTATATCTACACTATATATATTATAATAAAAAAAAAACTCGGAATTTTTTTTTTACAATAGCTTCGGCTGATTGCGTATGTTATCCAAGTCCAGCATGGGCTCCTGGCTCCTGGCCTGCGGCGATGATATTAAATGCTGATGATGATCGTAGCCCATTTGTTCTTCGGGCAAAAGACGATATTTCTTGAGATATTTATAGGAAGCATTAGACATATTATTCGGACTCTGGTTGAAATTGTCAATGGCGCGCAATGGCGTTCCATTTGAGACCACCTCGTTACCAGGCTTGGGTGAAACACGCAAATCCTCCATCAATTCGTTGATTTGTCTTTGCGGCAAATACTTCAGGGCCAACTCGTTCATGACCAAAGTTTTGTCCGTGCTTGATTTGACGGGCAACGCGGGCGATTGTTTACTCTGTGGCGTATTGCAGCGATATCCGGTGGATTGGGCTATTGGAGGTGCAGTACGTGGCGACTGAAATTGTGGCAAAGCTCTAGCCGGCAGCTCCTCCTCTTCGACTATATAATCGTGAATAATGGGTGTAGTGCGCTTAACCATTGCAACATTGCCTAAGAATCGTTATATATAATAGATATCTAGTCTATGAACACCTGTATTCAAAACTTACTTTTAGCTGGACCAAGAAGCACACATTGCGAGCCAGTTTCTTTGAATGTCTTTGCGCTTGGCAGTTGCTGTTGTTGCTGCTGCTGTGCCAGGGATTCGCAGAGGCGTCTTAACTGCTGCTGCTCCTGGCGCATAGTTTCCAATAGTGTCAGTACTTCTCTAATATCACTTTTATCTATTAAGTTGCCAGACTCTGGCCTATGATCCTTGACAGCAGATACAGGTTCTGCTTCTGTTTGGGTGCTGGCACAAATTGTAAGTACATCATTTGCAGTTGCAGTTGCATTGGAGTTGGACAAGCGAGGGGTAGGAACCAGTTCATCTGAGGCATACGTTTCGCGTGGATAATGTGAGGGAGCAGTTGTTGCATATCCCCGATTTAGATTGCTAGCTTGCTCTGCATCGAAGGCGCGACTGCGCGGTAGAAAGTTATACTCATTTCCGCCAACAACCCCACTGATTGCTACGGCTGTAGCAGCGGGTGGTGTGGCTGGGCCTAATTCAGTGGACACCACTGGAGAAAAGTTGACACGAGGCAATACTTGCTTCTTCCACGAAGCGAAAGTTGCAGGACGTTGTTGCTGTACCTGAGGTTGCTGTTGCTGTTGTTGTTGTTGAAGTTGGGCTTGTTGCTGCGGCGGCGCCTGCCCGAACAATATCGAAACTTCAGGCACTGTCGGCTTAACAATCTCATCAGTGTGGCCCAAAGGTATAGGTGCACTTGGTCTGGGAGCCGCTCGTGGCAGCATATCTTCAGTTTCAAACATTTTTAATTCTTATTGAAATTGAATTCGGGCGCGACAGAAATTGCGCTGCCCAAGCGAACAGGGCTGCTATTTTCCAGGGCTGGGCACACGTAAAATTTAACGAATTATGACACCGCAGCCCTGCCAGCTGTCTCTTTAAAAAAAAGAATCGGACGATAATTTTTTTTTAACAATAATAAAAATTTTGCAGACAAAAGCAACTATCAGGCTAGTATTTCCTCCAAGTATTTCTTTAGCTGAACGACAAATACAAACATATAATCATTTAAAATTGAATTCAAGCGCGAACTATGTATGTGACTGCAATAACAACCAGAGGTGTTATTTACTAGGGCTGACAAAATGTCAAATTCGACAACAAATTAATTGTCTTACTGCTACAGCCCAGCAGCTGTGTCATAGCACTGTCATAGAAAACAAAAAATTGAGAGAAATATAAACATTCAGAAGCAAACAATTTGAATAATTAAATAATATAGCTAGTATGCCATTATTGGAGAACATCGATGCCATGCCTGTGAACACGCCACCTGCGCCAACGACAGAAACAAACGATACACCCCAGAACCCACCCGTACGTGAGATCACACAAACGGATCACTTAAATAAACGCTTGTTGAAATCGTTGCTGGACTCCATGAAAACTACTACAGAACCGGAGAAGGAGTCAACTGAAACAGAGTCCAGTAATAGTGACTTCGATGATTGAATCGTCTATATATACATTTAATTATTAAGTCAAAGTTTGGTCATTATTTAACTACAACTAATAAAATGATAACTATTTGATCTTTTAAATACGACGGCGTTTGCTGCTTTGCATGGGTGGAGGTGTGGTCGAAGGGCTAATAGATTCATTTGACATCGAACCACGAGTTCGTTTTGCAGGTCTTTTCGGCAAATCCGAGAGTTTCGCCGGCATCTTCTTTTCGGTGTCTTTCGATTGAGCCACTGGAAGCTTAGTGCCTAAAATTTGATTGATATAGAAATATACAAAACTAGAACTTACAATTGGTTTACGTGACTCACTTTTACTATTGCTATCAATAGCTGCAGCTGGGACCGTGGCCCCAGTGGAAGCCGGTGTATCTGTGTTTTCTTCGTTAGCGTTAGCTCCAATCGTCTTTTTATTTACGAATGTGGCGTAATCCTGTTCCGGCAAACAAAACTCACGCTCTTCGTTGGGAAATGGCAAGCCTTCAAGATCATCTAGTTCTTTTAGTTTATACATTGTACTTAAATGTCTCCAGATTATGTCGCTGGGCATTTCACGGTTAAGCGATTTTGAGAGGCGTTCCGCTATGCAAGACATGTAGAAATGTTTGTTTATACCCACAGGTCGCAGACCTTCCATTGCGTGGAAGAGCTGCAACTCCTCTTCAGCGGACCATTCGTCCTTCGCCATCATCATTGCACTAAATTCGGGCATCCAGGGATGGATGCACGTGCGTACCCGCACTCACATGTAGTATACCGATATTTTCATAACACGCAATCGATATCGTATAGCGCCTACACGCAGCCAACTTCATGTTTCATTGGTTTGGGTGTGTATCTTTTTGTTCGAGTCAAACGAACTTGGACCTATTTTTCGGAAACTGAAAAAAAGTTTGACATAAAGCTGGTAAATGTTGCAGATATTACGTTATTAAATTGTAGTTGTGCTTGTGTGTGTTCTATTAACTAAAACTGTTAGTTTTAAGCAAAGATAGACGTGTATATGTAGTCATATGTATGCATGTATGTGTGCCTATTTTTGCATATCAGAAATAAAATCAATCGAAAGATTGAGAAAAAAAAATCAAAATATACTATATTTGGATGTGAAGCCCTATAAATGCAATCAACTAGAAATCGCGCGTGGTGTTATGATTAAAATGAAATCATATATAACCAATAAATTTATATTATTGTATTTACATACATATTATTGTATTTACATACATGCATACATACGTACATACGTATGCACTTGAATGTGAACGTAAACTTGGAACTAAAGAACCTATTTAACGAGCAACTACAACTTTTTTAAAGCTACCTAACACAATTCTCTCTAGACCTAATACTTCTTTTCAAGCTGTCCAACTTCCTGTGTATATGTACTCAATGTCGTACCCACTGTCCGTGCCAAATGTGAAAATTCAAAAACATATTTTAAAACAATATATTTTTTGGCATTTGCTCTGTTTTTTCTTACTACATTTACAGCGCGACCCCTCCATTCATCCAAAAACAAGAAAAAATATATAAATAAAATAAAAGCAATCAAGACAATTTCAAAAACCTCACAAGCAGCCAAATAAGCACACAATCACCAACTACACTTACTGTATTGTATTTGCATATCGTATCTGAGAACATTTTCAACCATAGGCCTATCCGAGACAGCCGTGATGGACGTAATGTCATCTTCCCTACAACAGCAGCGCATTGTCGTTGAACAGCTACGCCGGGAAGCTGCGATCGATAGGCAGTCCGTGTCGGTATCGTGCGATAAAATGAAGAAGTATATATCGGAGCACGAGCAGGAGGATTATCTGTTGACTGGCTTCACCAGTCAAAAGGTAAACCCATTCCGTGAGAAGTCGTCGTGCACTGCTCTTTAAGCAGGTTTTTATGGATGGATCGATGGATGATATATGTATTTCGTTTTTAAGTTCTTTATAAAACACAAGCACCCAAATTAAATCAGATAAATAAACTTGAACAATAACAAAAGTCGACACCACCAGCTAAACATGAATATCTATAGAAAACACCAGCAACAACAAATTACAAATACATATTACAAAAGCAATATTATAGCAAAACAAAAAATTAAAGGGGTCTATTAAATACCTATAAAAAGTAACAGAACAAACAACATAGCAGCAACTGAAATTTTAAATTCTTCAAGTATATAAACCTTGGAATTTATTCGGAAAATATCAGCAAAACCTTCTTTACCTATATATATATATATATAAATATATATAGTGACGCATCCAGTGTACACGAATATCCCAACTTGAAGGACAATTAAAGTGCGGACTATATAGCAACAACTACCTATGAAATCTATATCTAAATAATATATATAACAACTTCAAATATATTTATTAAAACATAGTACAACACACAAATAAATGAATCACAAACCAAAAATTCGCAACACATTTTTTTCGCCCACTTATTTAAAAACTAATCTGTTCACGTTGTTAAGCATACTCGAATTATGTAGTATGCTATAATCAAGAAAATTAATATTATAATTAGCCTTTACAAGTCCCAGCTAAGCGGATTCAACAAACTATATATGATTACTTTAAAAGCTTTAAAATCAGGCAAGCAACCTAGATCAGCTTTAGTGAGTTTAATTATCCAACGTTTTTCTTAGCAAAAAACAAAATATTACAGCAAAAAATCGTTGCAGTATTGCAATATATAAATGCAAAAATATATATACTAATATATATCTAAAATGTAGTCTTTCGTCTTTTTGATTATTAACAGGCAATTCATGCCAATATTTTATAATGCAATAATGAACGATAATTTATATAAATTTAAAATTTTAATCTCTATGAAACTCGCAAGTGAAGTCGAAAATTGTTTCTTCAATATTCAATTTTTCTAGATCAAATTTTAAGTATGTGTGATTCTATTATAAAATTGAGCCAAAAAGTAAGAAATTCACTCAAATTACTTGCATACAGTATTTGTTTTCAGTAATAACTTTGTTGACTTTGCAAACACGTCTGTTATCGAATAAAACTATCAATTGATTTGTCCGTGGTTGAGCCTATATTTTTGTAAAGGATTAACAAACCGAAACGTAATTGGCATGAATGGCAAAGTATATATATATATTAAGCTGAGTTATTTTTCTACACTCTGAAATGGTAATGGGCATATTTGTAGGGTATTGGAATGTGACAAAACGGTTCTTCCTCATAGAAGGGAAACATTCAAATTTCCATATTCACCAAATGACATTTCACCATTGGAGCAGCATTGAAAGTTCCATACTCCTCACCTCACTCACCACAGTAAATGAAGTGAATATAAGCGCTGCATTGAAACTTGCATATTCACCAAATACCATTTAAAATCAAATAAATAAATAAAATTTAATATTAAGATAATACGGATATGCTTTGTCGACAAAGATATTACAAATTAATAATTTATCGGTTCTTCCATTATGGTATTTAAGTAAAATATTTAAAAATGGGATCACACATTTTTCAAAAGGAAAGAGAAATCATTCTCGATCGCTTCAAATAGATTTTGAACTCTGTTCTGCTGTCGTGAGCATTCAGCAGAAAATTGTTCAAAATTGAATTTAAATTCCCCACTCGAAGAGCGGAAGGTTTTCCAAACTTTTAATACCAAAACTGCAGTTGGGTTAAAAGAAAATTTTCAAAAATATAAAATAATAATGAAAGAACAATTTTCGGTTCATTGATTGTTTCATATGAATATCGCATTTCTAATGCCTTAATTTAATTTGTTCATGAATAAAAAAGAATTCAAGTTTGCTGGGAAACAAAGCAAAAAATATCCAATGGAGCACGGATAGTTTTTGTTTTGTTTTCCACTTTACAAACATTGAATCTTAAAAGTAATATTTACAACTGTTAAAAAGAAAAACAAGTCAAAGTTACAAGAAACTTATTGAATATATATTATAGCACGAATACCCTAGAAAAATGAGATAACACTTTAAAAACTTTATTAACTTCAAACTTTGAAAACAACAACGATATCGTATTTTATTCGAACCAAAACAAATATTCAATTGTATCTGATATAAGTATGCAATGTACTCCAAAAAAATCAACAAATAATCGTTTGCTTGAATTCCAAAAATAAAAAGCTTAGATGAGTTATCTAGCGGAGACAAAAAAGATTCAAACTGTCTTTGATTTCAGTGTTACCAAAACGAAAACCTTTAAAAATATCTATAAACAAATATAGAAAGCTTTTATTTTGCTTAAAATTTTTAAGTAGAATATAAAAACTTTATATGAATTTAGATTTATCAGTTTATCCAAATGTATGTATATATTTGAACCCTCAGGTCACTTTGAATATATATACATATATATTTTGTTTTTTGTATATAAGACAAATAGATTTTTTCAGTTTTTAAGTTTTAGTTTATTAATACAAAGAAGCTGTGTGAGTGTGTTGCATTTTGTTGTATGTGTGTGTGTGTTTTGTTAATGAAATTTATAATTTCCAATGTGTGCCTACAAAAATACATGTAAGAGCATTTGTTGTTTGCCACTAAAATAATGAAGTTATAGATTTTAGCGAAACTTAAAATTTTTGTAAGGTTTTCAATTTGGATGATGATTTAGCTCTCATCATCGCTGCCAGCGGCCTGCCTTGGTTTTGGTCCACCGGCCCGCTTGGCCATGATGATCTGATCCACTTTCAAAATGGTTGTAGCAGCGCCCACGGCATACTTGAGACCCCAGAATTTGGCTTGATACAGATCGAAGAGTTTCGCTTCGACAGCATCGATGGTGGTAGCTTTTTCAGCTTCGATGTCGAAGCCAATGTTCTTGCCATTCTCGGAATTGTGTGCCAGGTAGAGTTGATTCACAATATCTGTGCCATTGGAGCCGGAGTTTTCGGCCAGAGCTTTGGGGAAGACTTCCAAGGCGTTGGCAAACTTGCGCACTGCATATTGATCAAGCCCGGGCAAAGTGTCCGCATAAGCAGCTAACTGTGTGGCCAGTTCGATTTCAATAGCGCCCGCACCTGGCAGATAGCGTCCATCACGTGTCAGACATTTGAAATTGTTGATGCCATCATCCATGGCGCGCTCAATATCATCCATGAAGTTATCTGTAGCACCACGAATGACAATGGTAGAAACGCGTGAATCCTTGCCTTCATTTCTAGAAAATATTAAATATACTTTTTACTTATTTTTAATTTCACAATGGGCATATGCGATGGTTACCTGAATGCCACAATTGTGGTATCGCCCAGCTCCTCGACGCAAACCTTATCACAATAGCCCAACTCTTCCTGGCTAGGAGTTGTAATCCTTGGCAGCACTGTGGCATTCACGGTACGACTCAAGCGACGTAGATCGAATTTGGAATTCAAGCGAACGGCCATCAACCCATATTTGTTTAGGAAATGCAAAGCCATATCTCCAACCTTACCACCGGAAACGACAACCTTAACACCTGTATCGGCAATGGCCTTGATTTGGTTCTCCAGCAAACTTTCCTCGCCGGATGAGAAGTTCAATAGCTCATCGGCTGATTTGATCAGCACTGTGCCCTTTGTCTCCGTTTGAATGATATCGACTGGACAGGAGAAAATTACAATTTTCGCCTTTTCGGCAGAGGTGACATCACCCTCAACGAAGCGCTTGAAGACCATGCCGCGTACAACCTCTGATGCACCCAATCCACTGCCCAAAATCTTACAGATGCGTATGTTGTCTACATTGAAGGTGCCCTCATCGGGCAATATTGAGACGCACGCCTTGCTAACCAAATCAGTAAGGAAATCCTCCTGGCCGTACTGCTTCGACATAATGGCCGAGCGAATGACCTCCTTAACTTTGTCAACATTGCGATAGTCTTCAATTTTGTGACAGACTAGAGTTGGCAGTATCTCTAAGGACTTATTCAATGCCTTCTCATAGCCGTCGGCTATTTCGGCTGTAGTTATGCCCAATCGGAGCAACTCCTCCGCCGACTCGAGCAGCGCACCAGCCAGCACAACAACAAAGTTCGTGCCATCACCCACCTCGGCGTCTTGCATTTGACTGGCCATTACAATCAGCTTGGCAGCTGGATGCTCAACATCCAGCTCCCGAATAATGGTGCCCGCATCGCTGGTCACGAACTGTTTCTCGATGTGATTGATGATCATTTTGTTCATGCCATTTGGGCCGTAGGCGGAACGCATTGTCTGTGAGAACTCCTTGCAGGCAGAGATGTTGCGATAGACTGCCTCCTCCAGACCACTGTACATCTAGAAAAATTGCATACATAATGGAATTAATGCCTTGTAAATGAACATCTGCGATGACTAATCACGCGCTTCGAAAAAACACACCGACGGTTCTTATTATCCCAATTTCAATGAAATCAAATCTAATTTCTTAATTTTCATATGTATTTCACTTACCCGGGCGCCATCCTTTAACATTTGCGCCACTCCGGGTGCTTTTGGTACAGATAAAGCCATTTTTATTCACAGATATTTAACAAAACGCGAAAAGCAGCTAAAGCAAGTCAATCAGTCGGTAGTGCGCTTAACCTCAAAGTCTACTCAACGAAGTTTCTCGATTGCACACTGGTTCTTAACAAAAAAAATACTGATTTCGTGCATTCGATAATACTGAAAATGTATTTCTGTGCGTTAATCGATAAGACAGATTTAATATCAAATAATATTAAAGATCTTAAATGACATATAACTGACATAAAGACTTGTTTAATTTTTGTTTTAAATAAAATTAAATTTAACAGTTGTTTTCAATTCCAATGTAACCGTAATCTACAATCTCATATGATAGTAGATGTTCTTGTATCGCATAAAATTCACTTACTCCTTATTATAAATGATGTTTGCTCTTAATTCACATTATTTGTTAAATTATAGAATATAAATAATTTATTAGAATTTGAATATTCTTATCAAAAAATAACGCATGCCATTGCGCTTTTGTATTTATTAAGTATTTTTCTGGGGGAAATATACATACTAAAAAAATTATCAACACACTTGGTCGTTTTTAATGTTTTGTTACCGAACACTGGATCTGGTGTTTTCTGTTCCAAACGATTTGAAGCGATGTCGCTGGTCAAGAAGCACGTGTTGGGATTCTCATCAAATGGTGGGAAACTGTTTGCAGTAATTGATGAACAGGGCACCCTACGAATATGGGACACCGAGTCGAATACATTAAAGCAGGAATACACACCGAACTTACAATTAACCGGTCATTGCACGGCGCTGGCATGGTTATCAATAAATGCACAGCGTACAAAGAAGTCTCGGAAATCTCTGCAACTTAATGATTCCACAACTATCGGTAAACATTACATAGCACTCGGCACATCTAAGGGAACAGTTGTGCTCTTTTCGGTGACAGAGGGAAAGGTATGTGGAATACTCTTAATTTTAATGAGTTTTAACTAATTACTTTAAATTTCCTTGTAGATCGACCGAGTTTTGAAAGGCGATAAACACGATGGTGCAGTCACATCCATTGCCTACGACAATGATGGACATCTTTATACTGTGGGCTCAGACGGTCGCGCAATAGTGTGGTCCGCAGCCGAGGAACGCTCTATTCGGCAGTGGCCGGTTGGACCCGAGAAGCCGTTAAATGTTGCAATTCTGCCAAAAAGTCGAACTCTGGCCGTTGCATCGCGGCAGCTGAAGGTTTATGATGTAGACAAGAAGGAGTTGGTGGAAACATTCACCGGACATTCTGGCGAAATTAATGCAATCAACAGCTTTGAATTCAACGACAATGAATACGTAATAACAACGGCCAGAATGGAGCGTGTCATTTCCTTCTGGAAAATTGATAGGAAAGGCAGAAACAAAGCTTCGGTATGCACGCTCCTAATGGAGGATGTGGCACACAGTTTGGCGTGCGAAGTGCGCGATAATGGACAATTGCGCATAGCGAGTGTGACACGCAATGGCAACATTCACATCTACTTGCTCAACGCGGAAAGGTGAGCTATCCCCACATATAATGTGTTTGTCTTATATTTACGCCTCGTTTCTTGTAGCATCTCTGCTGAGAAATATGTTAAGCCAAAGGTCTCGCTGCAAATTGCTTCGGATGGCGCTGAGACAGTGGAGCCGATTCATGCTATCGCCGCTCATTTTGTCGAAGATGCTCAACGCTCAGAAGAGATACTCTTCGGCTATGGCAGCCGACGCCTGCTGCAGTTCGAACGTTACACTCCAAACTATGCTGAGAAACTGAATGTTATCGTTCGCACCGAGCCGAAAAAGTTGTATGCCAAGAACAAGCGGAGTGAGCAGGGCACACCAGCTGCTCTGAAGGCTCAAGTACCAATTGTGAGCCACAAAGAGGTGGAGTACAATAGCGCTTTGCCCTTGTCGAATAAGAAGTTACGGAACGATGTGCCCATGGAGGCACGGTTGCAGAATTTGTCGCTCCAGGCCATGAAGTTGCCGGACGGCAAACTGCAAAGTCAGAGCAAGACGCAACTGTTAATGCAGGCTCTGCACAGCCAGGATCAAGAGTACGTTAGCGAGCTTTAATTTAATATATGACACCAATATTCCTTTTCCTTGTAGGATGTTGCGAACCGTATTGGCCTCAGACGATGAGAAAACAGTGCAACTAACAATTGATCGCTTACCCCTGGAGTATATAGGCCCGCTAATCAACGAGCTGTCCAAATTGTTACAAGGCAAAGCGGCGAGGTGAGTAATGCAAGTTTAATTTTATCATTAACTAATACATATGTAAATATTTGATTCTAGTGTAAAATGTGCTCTACGCTGGCTACAAACCTTGGCGACAACACATACAAGTATCATGATGTCCGAGGATAAAGAGGAACTGCGCGATAAGCTGGGCATTTGCCTCGGCATTGCGGAGCAACGTCTACTTTGCATTACGGAAGCCATGCAGTAAGTCTTACAAGTGAATCCCATTATCTCAATATATCGATGCTATAGACACCATCTGTGCATACGTTCTAGTCCTTAAGAGAACCATAGAAGAGAAAAAGTGCTGTCTCTGCCATCTAATAATTATAAATACTAATGTACATAAGCTATTTAGCATATCAGCATTTAGCAGCGAATAATCCGATATATGCATGGTTGATTGCCTATATATCAGTCCGTATGTCTGTATGTATATCTGCCTCTCTGTCTGGCAGTCTAAGAAGAGCAAGGGACGAATAAGAGAATAAGAGATCATTAGAGTTGTCTGTATGTATGCAGGAGTATTCATTTGGTACTTATATTTGAGTAAAACGAAGCTAGAATGATTGCAGTAGCAGAGCGTGTTCCCATTGGTCGGTTAAAGAGCGACTGAGACGAGCCCTACCTGACGTCGGGCTCAACATTTGAGCGCATTAGTGTCTGAGTGAAAGTCGCCCTATATAAAGGGCAACAGCTGCATCATTTCTTCAGTCGCCCAAGCCTGCCTAGTGGGGTCAGTCGTGCAGTGCAGTAAAGTGAAGTGAAGTGTGTGATYGTTCAGCTAAGCATTAAAGACTTCGAGGAACTACTTGGAGGAAAGTCTTAGAAGAAATACTTGGAGAAAAAATTTAGAAAAATTCTAAAAAGTACTTGGAGGAAAAACTTAGCAGAAATTCTTATCGAAACAACTCAGAAGAAATATTTAGAGGAACGACCTAGAAGAAATACTTATTTCGGAACTCAACAGCTGGCAACACTGATACCACCTTAGCTACGAAATGTCTGTAAATGTTCCCAACTCCCTTTCAATCCCAACTCAGTTACAATAACTTAATTTTTTGAGAAAAGTGCTTCTCGTTTAATGGAAATATACGTATGTGTATATTCAACATTCTTTCTTGTCAGCAATATTATTCTTTGGCTTGTCGGTGGTACCATGACGACACTCACAGATCTCCGCATAGAAACTTAACTTGTTATGCAAGATGGTGTCAATGTAAAATCTTTGAAATGTATTCGCTGGAATCGCCCGGTCACCCACAGCATAATATAGCGTGCGAAATCCTTCGAAACGATATGTTATCATCACTGGATAATAACTCTGCATGATACTCGACACAGTAATGATGAATCGAATCTTGGCCACGGCCAAGGGATTGGGACAGCGTTGCGTGGGCCGCGAGAAGTGAGCATCGACAAAGTAAATGGAACCCTTCAGAGGCACATGGTGATGTCGATTATTTGTGAGGACCACACATTTCGTATTTGGCGACAAATGCCATTTGGCGATAAAGTCCCGAATAACAGCCAACACATTGTTATACTCAAATTCACCGATCTTCAGCCACTGCTGCACGAAATCACTTGACGCCTCGCTTAAATTCATTGAGGGTGTATTCGGTCCCTGCATGTCGGAGTAATTGTAAAATGTCACCGGGTACTTGTAGCAAAAGAGCCCACGCGGATCAGATTGGATTATTTTAATAGCTGCACAGATGGTTGCATCAATCATATCGTAGACGACTTGAATATCTGCATGATCGCCCAGCGGCATCTTGCACTGGGCAACGGACTCAATCAGCTCATCCGCTCCGGGAACCCTACTACTACGTGCCGAATCCGTGGTACCTGACGACATATTGCCAGTTGGTTTTGTAATTTTACTAAAGTTAATACAAATTTTCTAGAATAAGAATGGCGAGAATGGCAATAGATAATTTTGTGGTATTCGCTAACTACAGAGCTTTCGAAATATAATATTTATGTTCCTTAACAATAGTTTATTGTGATTTTCAATTGCTTAAAATTGTATAAATTTTGTTGTATTTTAGAGTTTCTGGTCGAGTCAACTTGATTATAAGTCAAATGAAACGGAATGCGAACAACGATTTGAATTCTCAAAATGCTTTAATCATAGATGAGGATCCAGGTATATTATTTTTTAATATTTATGTGAATTCGGTTAATAATAAATATTAATTCTCTAGAAAATGTCCCGCAAACAGGCGAAAAGAATTGGAGTGATTTGGAGGAGGAGGAGGAGGACCCCAATCAAAACAACTCATTAGATGATGAACTAATGGAGGCCGATGATGATTTGGCGGCCGATGATGATTTGGCGGCCGATGAGGAAGATCTTATAGAGACACAGAATTCTTCAGAAGGCGATGATAATGAAGAAGAGGACTCAGACACAGACGCAGACACAGATGCGTCTGCGGGCTAAATATCTAGTTCCGTTTCTCCTGCCCAGAAATAAATAAAATACAAAAGCTTTTGTTTCAAATACATTTTATGCTTTAAATTTCATGCACTTTTCTTTCTTTTTGTTTTTTTAAACTGTTTTACATGTAATTTAACTACATTCAACAACAACATATATACCTGTGTAATATAGTGTAACTACCGATAGTGAGATAATTCGCCAATTTGCAAACAAAATGCGTTATGTTTATAATTCCAATATGCATGCAAATATAGTATAGTTTGAATTTTGTGCCAAAGAACAGAATTTCGCATAGCGTGTATATAAATAAGTAAAAGACGTAACTGTCAAATTTAGGTATGCGCGCGATCTACTTCCAGTTGGCTTTGATGAAATTGATTAAGCCATTTGTGGAGCTATCATGGCTGGAGACCTCTTCGCAGTTATCCAGCTCTGGCTCAATGGCCTTGGCCAGCTGCTTGCCCAACTCGACGCCCCATTGATCGAACGAGTTGATGTCCCAAATGATGCCCTGCACAAAGATCTTGTGCTCATAGAGTGCTGCAAAGTAAATTAGGTAAACGTTATTCTAAAGATCAATTAGATTATTTATTTATAGTCAACTTACCAATCAATGCACCTAAAGTGAAGGGTGAGACTTTCTTGACCACAATCGAGTTGGTCGGGCGGTTGCCAACGAAGACCTTATGGGGCAACAAGTTTTCCAGCTCGTTGCCGCACAGGCCCGCCTTGGAGAGCTCATTCTTGGCCTCATCGGCGGTCTTGCCCATCATAAGCGCCTCCGTTTGAGCTAGGAAATTCGAGAGCAATATCTTGTGATGTTTACCACCGGCAATGGGATTGTGCGTCTGTGCTGGTGCGATGAAATCGCACGGAATCAAGCGTGTGCCCTGATGTATGAGCTGATAGAAGGCATGTTGGCCATTTGTGCCTGGCTCGCCCCAAACTATTGGACCCGTATTATAGCTAACTTTCTTGCCCGATTTGCTGACAAATTTGCCATTGCTCTCCATATCGCCCTGTTGGAAATATGCGGCAAATCGATGCATATACTGATCGTATGGCAGCAGAGCGTGCGTCTCGGCATTATAAAAATTGGAATACCAAATGCCAAGCAGAGCCAGAATAACGGGTGCCTACGAAATGTGAAAATTCCACTATGTTAATTTATATTTAATTACATGTAAAGATTTTCAACGCTTACATTTTTCGCCAGTGGTGCAGTGCGGAAATGAGTATCCATATAGTATGCACCCTCGAGCAGCTGTTCAAAGTTCTCAAAGCCAATGGACAAGCAAATGGATAAGCCAATGGCAGACCAGAGAGAGTATCGTCCGCCCACCCAATCCCAGAAGCCGAACATGTTGGCGCTGTCGATACCGAACGCGGTTACCTTTTCCTTGTTTGTAGATAGGGCAACAAAATGTTTGGCTACCGAATCCTCCTATGAAACGAATTGCATTAATTAATCATTTACATTAATAATGTAAATTATCTCTCATAGAATTAGTAAACTCACATCCTTGGCATGCTCCAGCAACCAAGTCTTGGCCGAAGTGGCATTTGTGATCGTCTCTTGTGTGGTAAAGGTCTTGGACGCAATGATGAACAGCGTTGTCTCATAGTTGACCTTTTTCAGTACCTCCGCCATGTGGGTGCCATCGATGTTCGATACGAAATGCGAGTGCAAGCCCTTGCCATAGGGCTTCAGCGCCTCGGTGACCATGAGTGGACCCAAATCGGAGCCACCGATGCCAATGTTGACCACATCGGTGATTTGTTTGCCGGTGCAGCCTCGCCAAACGCCAGAGATGACCTTGTTGGTGAACTCTTTCATATGCGCCAACTCAGCGCGTACATCGGGCATCACATCCTTGCCATCAAGGAGTACAGATTCCCCGCCGCGATTACGCAAGGCCGTATGCAAAACAGCACGATTTTCGGTTATATTGATGTGCTGTCCACCGAACATGGCATCCCGTGCCGTCTCAACGCGTCGCACCTTAGCCAACTCCAGCAGCAGAGGCCATACTTCCTCATTCACGCGATTCTTTGAATAATCCAACAGAATTTCACCATCGTTGGGCGTTGACAATCGCAAACTAAATTAATCAAAAACAAATAAAATAAAATTGATTCTTAATTGATGGAAAGTAATTTGTTTGACCTTAACCAAGTTTAAATTGATATTGGGATATGGCAATGAAAAAAGCGAAAGTTGAATTGCAAATACACTTGCAAATATTGAAGTAATATTAAATGTAATATTCGACGATTATTATGAAATACTTCATAAAACATACGGTTTTTTCTTATTTTTAAAATTAGTAATTATGGTTTGGGAAACACATTGTTTAGAAACTGAATAGTAACTATTCGCAATACTGAGCCCTTCAGGTATATCAATTAACAATAAATAAATACATTGACATACAAAAATAAATATTCACATGTATGTATATACTATATGCAATTTTCGGTATACCTATGTACATATATGTAACAAATTTGATGACGATATCATAATACTCCTGCAAGGGTATAAAAGTCATTGCTGTGACCTTAAGCAAGGACAAAGATAATCTGATAACTTGACGTAGAGTTATTATATATTAGATTATCAAAAACGTTACGGCATTATCGCTTATCAATTCTTAATATCGAATAATTATCCAACACTTTTTCCCAAAACCAAAAGCTCAGCGATTTGACCGCCTAATTAATACATTCAAATAAATGTGTGTATAACATATACAGATATACGCATACACGCATAGAAAATTTGAAATCTAGCTGTATCGGCATTCATTAATGTGTGTGTGCGTGTGTGTGTGTGTGTTTGTGTGCGACTATAGATAACCGTAAGAACTCACCTGTATTTGGAGAAGCGTTTAGGATCGTTGATAAACAGGTCCTTAATGATGAGCTCTTTGTTATGGAGGTCATAGTATTCCTGGAGTTTCTTGAAAATCGGCTCTTGATTAAGCGGGGGCAGTGTACCAGCCATTTTCCTTTCGAAGGTTTTGTTAACACAAGTTGACACAAACAAAGACAAAATTCAACTGCACAAGCAAGAGATGACACTTTACTTAAATGTGATTATAACTGAGTCGAGTTCACTACTGCACAGCTTCTTTGATAATCGGTATTGGGCAGCACGGCCCACAGCGTAGCTCCACAAAAGCGCCGTTTTTATACTAATTGCCGATATGGTACCGCAATGGTAGTCCTTTTCACCCACCCGCCAGCTGCTGGAAATTTGTGCAACTTCAATGTCAAATGAAAAACAAGTTGCGGTGTTGCCACACTGTCAATATATATACGGTGCCAAAGTAAAAGAGCCAATTGTATTTGTGAAACTGTTCAAATTTGAATTTTACTGAATTCAATATATATCAAGATTTTGAAAAATATTAGTTAATTTTTATATAAAAAAGAAAATAGAAAATTTTTGATATTTATGTTTTATAAAAATGTGGCAGCTCTGTGACTAGAGAGCTACCAGTTGAAGCATTTAAAATTTTGTAGAGAATATTTAAATATTTGAAGAAAAGCTATTACGCTATTCAAAATCAGTAATGGTTATTATTATAAATATACTGATTTAATTTTATATGCTGCCTGATAGCTGGAAAAGCATTTTTCTTAGTGGAATTTTATTCAAACAGTTGTCATGCACGTCGAAACGTGTGTGGCACCCTTCTACACTTGTTGGCCATTCATGTCGTAACGTGTTTGTGTAGGCACTGCACCAGCATATGAACAACCCAACACTACAAAAAGATGGCGACGCGCTCGCTACTTGTTAATTAACAGTGCCAGTTGTTATTTTTTTTTTTTGTATATTGCTTTTAAACCTTAAGCGAATGAAATAAATAAAATGTAAACAACAAAAACGCGAGACTTGAATGCAGAACGAAACCATAATGCACTGCGCCTGCACAACCGAGAGTGAAGTGAAACAAATTCAAAACGCTACAAAGGTAAATTGAGCAACAAGTAGCCAAAAATGTTTAAATTTATGTGAGTCCCGAAAACGATAAATAATGGCATTCGAAATGTTCAATTGCATGCTGCTAGTGACTAGTATACAAAATACGTGCACAAGTTGCACAGAAAATTCAATGCACACGTAACCTTGTGAATACGCGTAATTCGGTGGCACTTGCAAAGGCTTTGGCTTGGCTTGCATTCGATATATTTTTTTGATTGAAAAGAAAAGTTAAACTGTCGTTTATTTGCAGTGCACGATTTAACAATTGAAAAGGACGTCGGGTACGTCAATAATAAAAAGAAAACAACACGCAACATGGACACAGAAACGGGCAGCACCACCAGCAGCAACAGTAGCAGCAGCAGCAGCAGCAGTAATTCAAGTAGCAGCAGCAGCAATGGAAACATTGCCTATGCCAGCACAGATGTCTCCACCAATCATCTCAACGAACAGCCACAAACGAAACGCCAGAAAATAGATAAACAAATACATTTGGTGGCTGCCAAATCGCCGCCGGACATATTGGCAGCAGCTGCAGCGGATGTGATGGATGCCAATGGCAACAATCGGAGTCATCTGTTATCCTCATCGCTGTCTTCGTCCTGTTCCACACACTCGCTGCCCAGCAGCACAAACAACTCGCCGACAACGACTCCCAGTAATTCGCGTGCCGCCTCCTATGCGCAACTACTGGGCGGTGTCCAGCACTTAGTCAACAATATCTTGCCACAAAAGGGCAGCGAAGGCGTTGCCAAGGATGAGGTCGATCGAGCAGCGCAGCTAACCGAACTGCTAATGGCCACAAAGGAGCTGACTCAGACAACGACCAGCAGCAGCAATAGCAGCAGTAGCAATAATATCTGCTCCGCTTCCTCCTCCGCCTCGACCATTGATGATATGCTGGAATTTGAGCAATCGCTGACACGCCAATGCCTCTGCGGCGTCTCAGAGCGCACGCTAAGGAAGCCCTTCCAATCACACTACTCACACGACTCGAATGGCCAGAAGCGCATTGCCTACTTGCGGGAATGGCCAACCAACAAGCTGTTGCAGTTCCTCTCCAATTTGCAGCTGCTCTTCGACATTTACCTGAAACAGAATGCGAAGGGCTTCATTTGCACTCGAATTATGGACGTGTGCGATGCTTTAATACGCAACGATCACAAGCTGATCGATGAGATTATCGTGCTGGCCGGCTACAACAATTCCTATGTGCAATTTTTGGCAGCGCGTGTCCTGGCCGCCTTTTTGGTCATTGCCAAACAGGAGCTGAACGACGAGTGGCTGCAAAAGATTGTCGATCAATTGTTCAACTACGATCTGTTAGATCAGACAGCCGTGCAGAAGATACACTTTAGCTTAGATATAATCAAACGGATTGTGGAGTGGAAGGATGTGGAGCTGCATCCGCTTGACGATGAATATACGACGAGCAGCACGGCAGCCAGCACAGCGGCAGATACGTCCATTAGTTATATGCATTTCCCCGTGCAGGATCAGCCACTGGCGAATAACTATTTCGCGCTACAATTCCGTGATGCAGTCGAGGCTGATGTGGACCATTACGAGCATAGCCAGAGTACAACAACAACAACAAATAATAGCAGTAATTCACCCGCTAACTATATACCAGCCAATGGTTGCCATGTCGTCGCCCTAACCGACTCGGAGAGCTTCGATACAACGCATCTAAAATGTGTAACCATACAGAAGCTGGAGCACAAATGGCCAACGCTAGTGAAGCACATGTCGGAGCTGATGGCTCCAGTGCATCAGGATAGCGCCGAGCATTGTGTGCTCAACTTTCTGCAGCTGTGGGAGAACATCATTTCCGTCAAGGCGAATCTCTCGATAGACGAGACGCGTCCGTTCTACGCGCAGCTGGACAAGTTTGAGCTGCTGCTCAATCACAATCTGTCGTGCACGGTCTACAAGCAGATGCTGTGCCTCTTCAATGAGGCGCTCTGCTATGGCTCCACGCTGGCGCTGCAGGACATGCTGCCGGAGGAGACATGCAGGCTGGCCCATCAGATTGTCTGCCATGTGCGCAGCTTGCGCATACTCGAATCCTTGCCACGGCGCCAGCCCCAGAATATTGTTGGACTGATTGGTTACAATGGTGCTCCCGTCAATTATGTGCCTGGCACTCTACTCGTTCACAACTCTCTGCCGGCACACGAGGGGACAGAGGCGGCAGCAGCTGGTGGCGTTGGCCTCATCGAAATGGATAAGACTTTGCTGCAGAAGATGGTGCTACTGGTGCTGAAATCGATAGCGGTTACTGTGAAAGAAATACGCAGCGATTCATCGGACTCGTCGATAGATTCAACCGATTACGATGCCTTTCAGGATATACAGCTGATCGAGCGATCGATAAGAGATGTCCTGAGCAAACTGGAAACGTTCATCAAGCAGACACTGGAGTTCCATCCCGAATGCCATTTTAGTAAGATTCTGATACATCTCTTTGATGATCAGGATGATCACTTGATAGAGGCAATGGTCTGCACCCTGGACGTCACATCGGGCATCTCGTTTCGGAATAATGCATTCCCTGAGCTGGTCGCCATGCTGAATCCTGTATATACATTCCTGGAGTTTCTCAAAATGGCATCGAATAGCTCGGACCTGTTGCTGGATCTGCTTGTCAGCAATGAGACGTGCTTTCTGCTGTATTTGCTGCGATTTCTCAAATATATACGGATGAACTGGACGATGTTTGTGCATAGCTGCCATAGCTTTGGCATGGGCAATGCCATGCTGGACGAGGCGATGGGCGTGCTCATCCGCTTGCGTCTGCAAATATCCCGGCTCGTCTCTCGACAACTATATCCCTATGATATATCGCCCGTGCTTCGTTTGCTGGAGAGCTGCGAAAGCCTGTACGAAGGCAATGAGCTTAGTTAAAGATTAATCCTTAATCACACTTCCACAATTGCAATTAAAATACGTAATTTATTATTTTGTATTTAAATGAATAGCTGAAGATGAAGACGGAGCAGAAGAGGAAGAAKAAGAAGAAACAACAACAAACTAGCACAAAATTCCAGAAAGTTTTTGTAGATTTGTCACATAATTCTTAATCTAAGTTCAACTTTATGCTCTTCTTTTTTACTCGTACTCTAAAACAATGCATAGACTTTCTTAATGTTTCCCATCTCAATCTAAGTTAATAAAATATAGAATACTTTATATATTTATATAAATATATATGTATGTACATCAACTGGTTTTAAATAATTTCATATTTGATTCCAAAAGACCGAAAAACGAGAAGAAAAAACAAAACACAAAAATTTTAGCCTAAGATAATAGAAATATCTATGCATATATATATATATAGCATATATATATATATATATATAGCATATCTAGGTCTATATGTTCTGGTAATACGGCTCATCTGTGCAATTGATTAAATGTGTGTATATTTGTATATCTTAATAATTGCATGGGCTTAGTTATAATTTAATTTCTATGTTTCAAAATGCCTTAATAATACTACACTTATTGATTAAAAGCAAAAACAAAAAACTGACAAACAGAATCGCATTTATTTGATTTTGCAAATAGATTTCAAGAAATCAGAGACTGGAATATATGTTTAAAAAATTTTAAAATTTAATGATGTCTGACCTTTGAATCTGGAACTTCCGTATTTTTTTATTTATATATAAATCCAATAAAATATATTTTTTATATATATCAAATTTCAAACATTTAGAATGCAAACTCGAATAAAAACTCTATTAAAAATTTTGTTTCAGCTGAAGCTTTAGTCAAATATTATTCATAAAATGTATTTATCGATTAAAAATGTTTTAAAAATAGTTTGAGTGGTTTGATTGGAAAACCAAAAACTTAAATACTTTTCAATATATATTTCTTAATCATCTATAAGATGAAGCGGGTGAGCTATAATAATGGGGTGTACTTAAATATTGCCTAAATTCGTCTAAGTTTAAAAATTTCAAAAAGTTTTTGGGATATGGATTTGGCAATAAACTATTTAATAGTTTAGTTATTGAGCTTAGCATTTAGTTGCTAAAAATATGTATATTTATATATGATTTTACTACAGCTAGAGCTGTTTAAATCGTTTGGGTGGGTCTCAAGTATCTCTGAAGTAATTCATAAATTCGTTGAATATTTCGATTCATCTTTTAAACTTTGTAAAATGAAGGTAGTCTGAAAAATATAATAGTTTAATTTTAATTATACTAAATTTCTTTTTTTTTATACTTCGAGTTAAAATGTCAAATTTTTCAAACTACCCTCGTATATATTTAGCATAGTGAAATTATTTTAGTGGCGGTTTATCATGCGCACCCGCCGCTTCGAGTCGGGTGTCTGGACACTTGGAGCTGTCGCGGGCAGAATCATCTCGGCTATGGAGCCACGTCTGACCAGTTCGGGATTCACTAGCGGCGATACCTGCACCATTTGATAGTTAATGCTGACGGGCACCGAAAGGCGACGACTCATTCGCGGCTCTAGAGTGGGATTGGGTAAAAGAGAAACTTAGCTGGGTGTAGACAATGGAGTCGATCCATTACCCAAATGGACATCGCCGGGAAGATGTTTGCCTATGGCTGGATGGATGGGTTTGCTTGGATAGGTTCTCTTCACCACATCCCTGGCTGTCTGCTCTTTGGCCTTATAACGATCCAGCGATATGGAACGTCCCTCTATAAATATGTTGTGTCTCGTTTGCAATGGAAGAACATCTTGCAAGAAAAGAGTTCACATATAATATATTGTATATATAGTGTGTATATATATGTATGTAAATCAGATTTCGGTTATTGAATGAGTAGAATTCGAAAATGGGATAAATAAAACACAAATGTTGTGGATAGATAATACTTTGTAAAATCATCACAGGAGTGCGGAAAAGAGTTTTATTTCACACAGTATATAGGATATATATATATACATATATATAGGCACATAAACATACAAAGTCATTAACACTTAAAATTATACATCTATATATTAATAGGAATCGAAGTACACATACATATAGAAATTGCAGTAAAGTTCAAGTGTAAAGGTATATAGATTTTAAGTTAGGATATGTTTTACATCGATAGTTCACAACATTTATTACAATAAAAACTATTTTGTGTTTTGCTTTGATTTGATTTGTTCCCTAGTTATATAATAAATACATATTTATGTAGATCCTCTTTAAAATTTTGGCAAACTTTTTGTTGAAATACCTTTTGAAGCGCGCCGATCTTGATGATTGTGCCTTTGCTCCTTCTGCGCGTAGGATTGAAGGGAGCAGCGACGAAGTCGTTTATCGCCTTTGCTCTGCTGTAAGCAAAATATATATTAATATGAAACAATTTGAGATTGTTGTTGATGGGCCATTACCGTTTTATAATGCTGATTTATGTCGGAGGCCGCTTTTAGCAGTAGATATATAAACACCAAGGCGAATAGATAAATTATGGGCTCAGCTGTATTTGGCTTCTTATCCTTTTTTCTCTGCAGCTCGGATTTTGATTGTTTGCCAGTTGATTTAATGGATTTGATTTGCTGTTTGTGTCTTTTGATATTTACTAACTGCTGCCTTTTGGATTGCTTGACTTCCTTTAAGGTAAACTCCTCCTTGTTGAATACTTCAACCTCTCTGCACACGGGCTGCTCCTCCTTTCCGTTTGCGAGTAAATGATGCAGTTGGTCGTTGGCATTTTGTTGATTTAGGTTTTCGGCAGCTACTCCTGGTTTTAGGTAATAATTGTAGTTGTTTTGTACTCCCGCAATCATCAGGTAAACCGTGCAAAGCACTATAATTATGCCAACAGGAACCACATGATGATTGTTATTCAATTCTGTTGGTTTAACATTGCGATAACTAATTATATCATCTCTTGAAATATCCTTTGTTTGCATTGCTCCTCGTTTTACAAGCTATAAATAATAAATCTATGTCTCTTTATGTATCTACAAGTTCAACTGGCTTTTGCTTGGATAAATCGATATTTGAACTCTTAGCATAACACAATTTAAAAGCTTTTCCTTATTGTTTTAATGGAACAATTCCCATTGGACGATATTTTATGTAATTTTACAAATAATAGTTTATAATATTTGAAGTTTTTTTTAATGCTCTGGAAGCTGAGCAAAATAACAAACACTGCGTACTAACACTACGAATGCGAGTACGAATACGAATGAATACGAACATAAAAATACGAATGCGAACTACAAATACGAACGAATGAATTTACGATGCTCGACATAAATTTCTTTACTTCGCCTGCAGGCTCATGCTGAAGCTGGACGTGAGGCATGTAAGTTGATTGAGAATTTCTGTGGGACAGTTTAATAATTATTATTATATATTAATAAATCAATTCATTGCTTTACCACTAATTTCTAAGCTGCCCGATTGACTCTCGTTGTTTGTCTGCAGCTTAGCGCTTACAAAAACATTTTGGCGCTTAAACATCGTAGTGCGTAGGCTCTCTTCTGCAAAAAAAAAGGATAAATATAGTATAATAAATTAATATGATTTGGAATGCCAAATATTAAATGCTCATGCAGACATCAATATATCAACAGCAATATATGTATCATTAAACTTTTTGATATAGTAGTGAAGGCAACTCGCATTGCTTTCTACAACTATGTCCATCATATCCCTCTCAACAACTTACTTCTGCGTACACAGTTCTGCGCCTTCAGCTTAAGATAGTCGGATTGCATTTGCTCCACATTAGCTTCTTCCAGCTTACAGCTATTCGCTCTACTGCGTTGCTTCTGAGTATTGTAAAGTATGCTGCGTGATGGTGAGGCTGTTAAACCTTGCAGACTGTCTGTTGCTCCTTCTTCGCCTAGCTCCACAGTCTGCTCCATTTTATCCCTAAAACCTGTTGGTTTACTCTGTTCGTCGACGATGTTCGCGTGTAGCTTACGCAGAATGTTGCGTAATATCTTAAATCTCTTTATAATGCGTTCGGGCTCTACTTGGGCGGCGCACATTAAAATCGCTTTGCATTCGCGCAGAATTTTCACAAAATTTTGCAACTGCTCTTGTCCTGGCTGAAGCACCACCTTTCGATTGGCATCCAGCTGAAAGTGCTCCAGTATTGAGAAACCCATTTGCAACAGATCCTCGAGTTGCGCCTTATCGAATTGTTTCTCAATTGAATTGAGCGCATTCGTTAGTATTTGCAGATAACAAGCGACGAATGCGCGGCTATTTATAATCTCTTGCAGAGCTTGCTTAAATCTGGACATTTCCTCCTTAAAATGCTGCTCCAATAGCTCCGAATGTAAATCAGAAGCATTCGACTGCAGCGAGGGGATTAAACTGGTATCCAAATACTCAAAGGAAGCCAAACAGCTGCGAACGATGGTTTTGACTAAAAAGAGGGGATATAGATTTACACATACATCCAAAATATAACACCAAGTTCAATCCAATTCAAATACCTTTCAAATTGGGCGCAAATGCTATAGCATAAATGCCAATCTGTGTTGCACGATCCAAATTGACATCGAAATCGGCTATAAATTCATCAGCTATTGCTTCCGTCTTTGAGTTTCTCAATAAATTCCGTATTTTATCTACCGATAATTTTTGAAAGTCCAAAAAGCAAGTGTAAACTAAACGTAGGAGAGCCTCGTTTAGATACTCCTCGAGTTGATAAAGCGCCTGCTCCAAGGTTAAGGCTCTCAGTTTTTGATTGGAATAGTTGGTGGCTAGAAGACAATCCTCTTGAAAGGCGCTGCAATCGCGCATGACCTAAAAGAGTACTATTATGTTTCATTTAAATGATATTTTATATTTATAATCAAATACCCGTTGACAAAGCGCACTTAGTGCTCTTTTATCCTGTTGTAAGGCCACATTGGCAAAGGACAACGTTTGACCTAGCAGCAAATCCACTTGACACTTGACTTGTTTACTCAAGAGCTTCACATCAATGCAGCTTTTATCCACATGTTCGCTTGTGAAATCTGTTAACAAATCAAGCAAAGAATC